TTAATTCATCATGATTGCTGCATGGAAGACACATTTTGCCATCAGATCTTGCTTTTCTGCTGAGGTTGCGTTTGTGCTCCAGGTTTTTATATTTTCGTATCCAATTAGAATACCAGAAAGGTTTTTCTTGAATGCAACCGATTGGAAAGGGGTGTCACGGGAACATGCTGTGATGAGTATATTATCATAGATGTGAAGAGAGCAACATTCAATATATACTGAACAGCAAAAGTTCCTGTGACACTGAATAAGATTTAATGCAAAGTTATGTTTTTTACCAAATCTGTAACAATTTCGGTTTGCAACAGATAAAAGACTCCTGTAAGTGTTCAAATGGTTTAACTTGCCATACTGACTTCAGAAATCCGTGATTTCATAACACAAACATGAACATGCCAAAATGTCAATTTACAAATCAATAGCGTGTGTGTCTACCTCTGGTTGCGATGCAAGCAACACATCGTCTCATGGAATGGACCAGGCGTCGCACCAAGTCCTGTCGGATATCTGTCCATATCTGAAGGGGATGTTTCGAAGTTCCTGGAGTGTCTGTTGAACACTTGGTTGACGTAGAAGGCGCCGATTCATCTCATCCCACAAGTGCTCGATTGGTGAGAGATCAGGGGAGCGAGCCGGCGAGGGGGTGACATTCACGTTGTTTTGTTGAAAAGAGTCCTGAACAAGTCGAGCAATATGAGGCCGGGCGTTGTCATGTTGAAAGGTAATGCCTGGGCCATGACGACGCAAAAACGGTAGAACAACAGGGCCGATGATCATGATCTCGTCGCGGTAGCGCTGTCCATTGATATTTCCCTCTACCACTATCAAACGGGTCCTCTGCCTTGCTGTAATCCCACCACCGAACCGATCTTCTTCCATGACCCAATGATTGACGTAACGTTCACCTCGACGTCGGCACACTCGAATCCGTCCATCGTTGTGCCTGAGGTGAAAACGAGACTCGTCAGTGAATAGAACATGTTCCCACTGCAGCGTAGACGCTGTCTGCACCACTGTTGACGTGCTTGACGGTGGTTACCTGTCAAAATGGGATGTCTGGCGGGTCTTCTGGCGACAATCCCTGCACATCTCAGGCGACGACGTACGGTTTGTGAAGATATTCGTCGAAGGCCAGGGATGCTTCTTGCAGTCACTGTTGCTGGCTGGAATCGATTTCGTAGGTGTATTGTTCGAATCCAGCTGTCTTGTCGATTATTGGTTACGCGTGGCCTGCCACTCCATGGATGGTCTCTGACTGCAATCGTCTTTTGCCAACGTTGCCATACACACCAAATGGTGTTTCTGTGGACGTTAAATAGTCTTGCAACATCACGTTGACTCTATCCTGCTTCAAGCAAACCAATGGCTCGCAGACGCTCATTTTCGGACAGGCGTGGCATTTCGTAATGTTGAATAATTGCGTAATTTTGTGTTTTTAATGAGTGGTTGTTGTCAGGACGATGCTATACAATGCATATGGAATCCTGTTAACGCACGTTTTTATACCCATACTTGGGTAGTGAAATGCATGGGGTTTGCATAAAAGTCAACTTTTGGATGGAATGCATGCTTTTCTGTAGCGGTTGTGTTTTTGTTACTTGATTCCATACATGTACTACAATATTGAAAACCAAACTTTACTTGTTTGAAAAATACACTAAAATATTGGTGTCACAGGAACTTTTGTTGTTGAGTATATATTTAGAATGTGGGTTATGCTCACGTGAAATATACCAGCGCCCACTTGCACAGAGCGATCTTAGCGCTAAGACTATCGTAAGCCTATGTTAAAGTATGGGGGATAAGATCATCTTAGCGCTAAGATCGCTTTGTGAAAGTGGGCCCAGATGTTTATTCCTCCATGGTGGATTATCACAAAGTGGATTGTTCTTGGTTTCACGCCGCACTCAGTAATATTCCAGCTATATGACAGCGGTCTGTAATTTATTGAGTCTGGACCAGACAATTCAGTGATGTACATCATGAGCATCGATCTACGCAGTTGGGATACGATGACATGTATCATCAAGCCAGCAAACATGACTGCCCGATTCCTTTAATCGCCTCTTACGACAAGCATAATCGTTTTGGACGGCGAGCATGGGTTGCGGAAGACGTATTCTAACCCGGATCTTCACGGGTCTTCGATTTCTTGACAAGTTGCAGATTTTGTTCATGAAATACGCCTTCATTTGTATGGCAGATGATTTCTAAACATCGCACATGGTGTCTAGGCCACAAGTGAAGATGATTGCCATGTTTAGCGCCTGGTGAGATTTGTTGACAGAGACATTTGAGAATATAAAATTAACAAACAAGGCATTATGTCAGTGTTGATCGTGAGCCTCATGTATTGGCAGCCACGGTGAACTAGCTAACCTTCCGTCTCTAATGGTTACTTTAAGGTGTATTTGCACTGGTGCGTTTCCAGTGTTCTAATGCTTTGATTATTCACAATAAGAGACCACAGAGCCTTCGAAATTCCATTCTTCTTGAATCAGTCTCGATCTTACAGATGTGGATCTGTGTCGGATCTGTGTCGAATATGAATGACTACAGAAAGGTCCTGGATGCACTGTGTATGTTGGTATCTAGTTTACGGCCGCAATCAACAATATTCAAACTGTATGACGGAGATATCAGTGATTGATATTATGAGCAACGATTCACGCCATGAGATACGTTGAAACGCAACTAGCCAAATCCTTGGTCTGACCACATGATCCACTGTCACCATTGACTGCTTGGGAACAGTTGTACCCCGGAATCCCCAAGGGGAGGCTACACTGCACATTAGTAACGATAGCAACATACGATTCAGTGAAAGTGTCATCTTTTCACTGTTTTGTTCACATTGGTACAACAATACCAACTTGATTAAGTCTTTGAAATGCGTTTAGAAGTGATACACACTAGGAAGAGAAGTTATGATGTCAACTTCCTTATTATGAGGAACACAACGTGTCGGTGTATATACTTTAATCCTCCTTGTAAGTTTTGAGTACCAATCATAACTAACTTATACAATTATACCTAACAGTGTGGTGAACAGGATAAACTGCGATACGGTAAACCCGGGCTAGAATAGGTCTTCAGCAATGCGTAGATGGATCCTCTTGATGTCAATCCCTGGATTGTCTTGTCCAGACTCGATAATTTACACACTGCCGCCATTTCGCTGTGATATTGCCGCATGCAGCGTTAAACAACAAACAAACAAATCAATACGGCAGAAAGGAAATTTATAGGAGGGTAGTTTGCAGGGAAAGCTCTGAGACAATTCAGAAACAGGTTCCTCCAATAAGTGGGTGAGTTGGGATTCAAAGTCGCATCGGCATTGTTTCAGCTCCTCCTATAACGATTGATAAATTGGATTATTGAAAAAGAGGGGGAGGCGATTTGAAATGGGTCTCAACGCGTTAACGATTATTTATCTCATGTGTGGCTGCTTGACCTTGCTTGACCTAGCTCACTGAGACACCACGCCCGGGTTTAAAATGGACAGCCAACTGAGACACAGTTTACTGGGCCGACAGTTTGTGGTTTGTCCTCACATCGCCGAGAGCCAGGCAGGGTGACAAGTATCATTGTTTAACGTATTTTGGTCGATGTAGCGAGGGGATCGAGACACCGACCTTCCATTCTCAGGGCAGACGCTCTATCCACAGAACAAGAATAACTGTATTTATGCCACCCATCATTGTCTTTTTGTTAAATATTACGTAGTTGACAAGAGTCGATTTATTTCTATTTCCGACGGTTCTTCAGTTCAGACATGGCTTGCAATCAGTTTCATTTCTGACTGAAATTAGGTTTCACTGCCGCATGTAGCACAACCTGAAATATATACCTGACATATTATCGCATCCCAAGTAGTATCGATGTGAAGATGGCAGACGACAAATTATCAAAACCATTTCTTATTCATTATAATCAACAATACGAAAGAAGGAACTGAGGACGTGCGCGTGATCACCTGACACGTGCCAATTATACGATAACTGGTAGTTGTTTATATTTCCATTGTTTTCACTCCGACTTATATAACAGATCCTCTCACATTTTGTCCACGCAACAAGGCGAGTGCATATCCTCCTAGTTCAATACTGCAGAACTAAAACGAAATCAATTACAACAATTGGTCGTCTTCAAATATCTGCTTTCGAAAATAACAGCCGTCAAATCGTATGCGTCTCAGTAAGAATGGTTTTGGCGTGATTTGCACGTGCTGAAACGACGCCTGTATGTACTTCGTACGCGTAACACGAAGCGTCTTGTCACAAGAAGACACTGGAAGCAATTTCGTCAACAGTTTGCGAGTTGTTTTGTATTTTCACAAATAATTCAAATAATCAAAAGCAGTAGGTCCATGTCAGTTTATTTCCATGCACAAAACACCACAAAAGGAGCATAAAGAACATTATTACAATGGCATACTCAAAATAATGATAATACAGAATATTCCAGAAATGTTTGAACAGTTTTCATAGCTGCCTGCACAATACTTTACCCAGCCGTCTGCACGTTCCTCGTTATACTGCGTTTCTCGGGGTCTCTGTTATAACACGGTGTATGGGAGCAGGAACTCCTCTGTGTGTTCCTGTGTCATCGGCACGCTCTGTTTATAACTAATTGTTTTAGTAATTCAGAATATCATCTGCCAATATATCTGAGGATGTAGTATCACAATCTAATGTTCATGTATTGCTGTCGCTTGTGCCTAACCTTGTGATTCATTAAATAACTGACGAACAACAAACTCAAATTATTACTTACTACTTTCCTAATTTCATATTCGGGTTAATGGATTATCAGTTAATCCAATATGAACATATATGTTAGCTCGGAATGCCTTCCTCACATCTGAAATCTGATTATGTTACATTGTTGTTGAGTAGAGTTTACTTGTTCATAAATTAGAACCATCTACATGTCATTATATATCATAAATATCACACTTTGTCTCATGTTCACTTGTAAACTACATTCATATGTTGTAGGTATACATCTGAAGTATGACAAAGACAGAGTCAATCTCGACACAGTCCACATCAACACACAAGGAGACCTGGTCAACAGGAAGTCGGACACCAGACCTGCAGGGGAGGGGAGACTGAAGAAGTACAGGGGCACATGTAGCACTGCCCCCCTCCCCCGGGCTGGCTGTCCCCAGTACTGGGAGGTGGTGAACAGGGTCAGTCTGGACAAACCACTCACAGGGAAGAACCTCATCCTGGAGGTGGGTGTATGCAGGGAGGAGCAGAGGGACGTGTCTCATTGTATCAATGCACTACCCAGCTCCAGGTGCATGCTGGTCGCCCGCTGTGCTACACACGGCGGGATATGCAGGGAGACATGGAAGGAGGGGAAGCGTGTGCTGTGTCTGCCTGACACTCTCCCCAACACAGCAGGGGCATCACACACACTACATTACGGTGTTGTCTATGATGACGCCAGGAAGAAGATTGTCTTCATTGATGTGAAGGAGAACAAAGTGAAATCGACGTTAGACAAAGTAGACTCCAGTCAGCCACTTTGGCCGATGTTCGGGGTGCATAACCCACATCTCCTCACTGTCAGCATGACACTTGTAGTGGGCAGCGACATCACCATGACAGAGGAGAAGAAAGCAATGATAGCCAAGGCGCTGTCATGATAGTGACAATGATTGCCAAGGCGCTGTCGTGATAGTGACAATAGATGGTTATTATAAACACAATGTGAATGTCAGTAGTTTGGCTTTTTTAAACAGATATTGATCAAACTGACCTAAGCATAATCATTTGGAATTATATTTGATACAAGTGATTATTTAGAGAAGTTATTTTTCTGTAAATGGTGCCAAAATCAACAGTGTCATACCGTATTTATTTAGGCGAGGTGAAATCGGGTTTAACGTCGCGTCCAACATTATTGCACTTATATAGCAACGTGCACGCACGTGTGTGTGTGTATGTGTGCTTGTGTTAGTCCATATTAATGCCGATTTTATAGTGAGAGCCCACTGAGATACCATGCGGCAGTTGAACATGAATACCCCATCAGACACACTATACACAGTATATTCCGAGCCGACCAGTCCCTCGCCTTAATGCCGAGCGCCAGAGTAACAACAAGTACCACCTTTCAACGTATTTTGGTATGATGCCGCCGGGGATCGAAGCCTGGAACTTTCGCTCTCCGGACAGACGCTCTACGACTAGGGCGGTCGGGTAGCCTAGTGGCTGAAGCGTTCACTCGTCACGCCGAAGACCAGGGTTCGATTCCCGACATGGGTACAGTGCGTGAAGCCTATTTCTGGTGTCCCCCGCCGTGATATTGCTGGAATATTGCTAAAATCGGCGTAAAACCATACGCACTCACTCTACTACGACTTAATCATATATGTCGCATGTCTTTAGAGCTTTTGGCGTTGATCATTTTGGACTATGGGTAATTCAGGGATTTGTTTTTCAGTTGGATATGAAACATATATGTTGTATACAAGGAGTGTATTTAAGAAAAAAAGGCGCCTCCAGTTTACTGCAATGAGCGTTTCCTTGCATTCGCTTCTGGGCAGAATAGTCCTGAACATATTTTACGCACGCTTCAATGACAATTGAAGTGTGACCGAGTATAGTTTAACGCCGCTTGTAGCAACCACGTTAGTGGACACCAAACATGGACTTCGCACTTTTTAACCATGCATGTGTGGAATCGAACCAGGGGCAGTGTTATGACGAGTGAATGTTTTTACCACTGGGCTACCCCACCGCTCTTGAATGATGTGAAAATAAGTGTCAGCGATTGTGTAACACGTATGCACATATATTTCTACGATAATCTGTGATTATATTGTGATATAATTTTCTGAATGTTGACATTTTTTTGTCTCCAAGGCAACAGGCTGGAAATGAAGGTTGGAATCAGTTGTTTCATATTTATTGACTTCTTGTGAAAACGTTCTAAACACTGACGGAAGGCAGGGTTCAATGTCGAGGTTATAAACCTTTCAGTATTACTCCTAGAAAATTAAGATCAATTACTTTATACCTTTATATTTGAAAACTGGGCTTACATTTCCTCATGGAAAACAGTTTCAGAAGGATTTCTACACAGATAGGGCGACTCTTTCTGGGTAAAATCAACCAACAAACTTCACTTTCATTTTCCACGGATTTAAGAGAGCATCGTATAAATGAAGGTCGAGTTTTATTAACCTTAAATCCACAATGACTGTTACGCTACTTCTGCTGTGTTCCAATCATATACTCTTAAAAAAACGCAAAGCAAGATATGTGTGAAGTAGGAAAATACATTTATACGAGGAACCGTACAAGGTATTGAGCTAAAATGTTGTTGAAAGAACACTTGGTGATTGTAGTCATCTCAGTTATCGGTACATATGAAAAATCCAAGGTGAAGGTCAGCTACCATCAATAACGCATAGGGGGCCATGGGAGAACATCAACGTTGTTGTTGTGTAGACAGGCTCTTGTGATCCGTGCCGTTTGTGGTCGAGTGTTGTCCTGCTGGAAACACCGAGGACGTGTGGTAGGAAAATTTCGTTGATGCATCGTTGAGCCTTAAAGTTGCCATGGATATGGACTAAAATTGATGAGAGATAGCCGCCCACATCATAAGGCTATCCCCACCAAACCTGTCCACTTCCTGTAAGCAGTTTCCGGCCTAACATTCTCCCCGACGTCTGTGGGCCCGTGCTCTTTAACCCCTTCGACGGAGCAAAAATCTTGATTCGTCGCTGCACCAGACATCTCTCTATCGCAGTTGATGCCATACCCTGTGTTGACGCGTCAATGCAGTCGTTTTTGACTATGTTGTCGACTCAACATGACGCGTCGAAAAGGACGTCTTGCTGGTAGACCTGCTGCTCTTAAACGGTTTCGTACGGTCTGGTCGGAGATTCTGCGCAGTCAGGGTATTTGTGATGCGGTTGAGGTGGCTGTGGTCGCAGGTGGCAGTGGCGCAGTCGGATGTAGCGATCTTGGACGGGGGGTTGGTTTCTCTTGGTCGTCCCGACCTTGGCCCATCACGTGCTGAAACCGATCCTACAGCCTTGTGATGATGCTGTGCGCTACATTGAAAACCCTGGCTACAGTTGATCGGGATTTCCCTGCCCGCAAGCGGCCTATGACGTTGTTTCGTTGCACTTCCGTTATTCTTGGCATGTTGTTGAACTGTCACTGTTCGATTGACGCAGATGCACTTTAATACCGTTCATAGTGCTGTTACAGGTGCAGTGCTTGCAGCTCCATGGCCCTTTTGTTAAAACACTGTGTGCGTTTTTCAGAATTGTACGTGTTTCCCGACTAATGGTTTGCATGTCCTTGTTGTGATAATTTTGATCCGGGAAATTTGTCACTGATACTATAATACATTAAACCTCTTCATTTTGCACCTCTTGAAGTTTGTTTTTATGGCCAAAAATATTCGTTTTGCGTTTCTTTTGTGTTAAGAGTATTATTACACCTATGAGCGGCACGATTGTGATGATGTGCATCACCATCATCTCGTGTACAATTCATGTCATCACTGGGTTATTAAAAAAAAATTGTTTAAACTGTTGTCACTTTTGGTTCAACCAAGCCAGCAAGCCTGACCACCTGATCCTGCTTATCGCCTGTTGACAAGCATGATGTTAAAGACCCCTTCTATCTCGGTTCTTCACGTGTGTTTTCCAAATAAGAACAGAACGTGTTTATCAATGTATGTCTGAATTTCAGCTATATGACGGCGGTCTGTAAATAATCGAGTCTGGACCAGACAATCCAGTGATTGACATCATGAGCATCGACCCACGCAAATGGTATACGATGACATGCATCAACCAAGTCAGCGAACCTGACCACCCGATCCCGTCAGTCGCCCCTTAAATATGGTGCTTTTTAGTCATTCTCCAACGAAATGTGGTGCCGTTTTGTGAAGAAATTCGATGCATGACAGGATGCTGTCAAATCACAATTCTTCACAATGTATCGAAGTGTTACACCCTCACGCAACTCTCTGCTGTTCATGGTCCAGTGGTGTATAGCCAATGTGTCAGGATGACAAGAATTATTGTGCAGTCACACGTGAGATTACCGCCTCCGTGGTAGAGCGTCCGCCCGGAGAGCGGAATTTTTAAGGTCCAGGGTTCGATCCCGGGCCGCGTCATACAAAAAGACGTTAAAAGATTTTACTTGTTGTTACCCTGTCTGGCGCTCGGCATTAAGGGGCTAAAACAAGGACTGGTCGGCTCGGTGTCAGTATACTGTGTCTGAGTGGGGTATTCATGTTAAAACTGCGGCATGGTATCTCAGTGAGCTAGCACTATAAATCGGCATCAGTCCGGACTAGTACAAGCAGCCACACACACACACATACACGTGCATGCACGTCGCTATATAAGTGCAATAATCTTGGACGCGACGTTAAACCCAATTTCACCTCACCTCACTTCACACGTGAGATTAATGGTGATGAATTAACCGATGAAATTGGTGACGTTTTGCTGAGTTGCCGTTTCAGCCCGAACCCTTGAGTGGTTGTCAACCACTGGCTTTTATTGGATTACCTCCCTTTGGTAAAGGTGTCCCGCATGAAAATGTAAACAAGAGAAGTATTCACTTTACTCGTTGAAATAACAACAAGACATACACATGTCATTGATAGATATTGGGTTCCTTCGCGACCTACCTGTATGTAATATGCCCTGCGTATCTGAAGAAGTATTTACAAATGACCACAAGGCCATGATAGTGCTTATAGCAATTTGCAAAGTACCGAACAAATATCAACTGCATATAGTATACTATAATGACTATTTATATAAGGCTCCGGTGTTTCAACATGTATTTCAATATTTTGCGTCACGTGCCTGTGTGCATTAGGGAATATTTAAAAAAAAACATAACATTTGTTGTTTGTTGTGACGTTTGCTTTACCTCCCTGCGCTGTGATGCGTACTGCCAGTGTTAACTCAATAACTGACATAGTGTCACTAAAACAAATGATACATGCATTATAGCGACCAGTGTCTGTCATTTCGCAAAAACGCAAAAGTTGGCCAACATATTGTTACGATGTTGCAGTCATGGCAGTGTAGCGGCCATAAAATTTCAGAGTCCCGTGATGGGATTTGAACCGCGACGGACCTTCTGATCCGAGGTTGGACAACTTGTCCACATGACTAAAGAGGTTAACCCCTTCAGCAAGCTGACAAGGTAAGGATGTCATCTGTGGGATGACTCCATGCCCTGCTACATACTCCCTCGTAAACAGAAGGCACGTCCCGGGCCGCTTTGTAGGGTACTGAGGCTTATTTTGCTCAAATTTAATATGAACATGCATGCTCAGCCCCACGTTGGGTGCCAATGTAGCGGCCATAAAATGTCTGAGTCCCATGATGGGATTTGAACCACGAAGCTTCTGATCCGAAGTCGGACGCCTTGTCCACATGACCAAGGAGGTTAAACCCTTCAGCAAGCTGACAAGGTAAGGATGTCATCTGTGGGATGACTCCACGCCCTGCTACAGCAGGAATTACAGTCACTTGCATTTCAGCTTTCTGGGTATTACTCAGATTTCATGTATGCAAAAAGTACATTGATGCATATCTTATGTTTTGTCAAACAACATTACTGATATGAATGATAGAATGAATGTCATTATTTATTATTGATAAAGTCTCTCCTACCTCTGGAACATACACACCATCAGCTTCCTCATGCATCTGAAGATGGACGACATTCAGGTAGATGTTGCAGTCATAGGCGCTGGTATCAGTGGTGAGTACAACTCGGCTCTTCATGTCACTTTGTAGGTTTTCCGGGGCGGTCGGGTAGCCTAGTGGTTAAGGCGATCGCTCGTCACGCCGAAAACCCGGGTTCCATTCCCGACATGGGTACAATGTGTGAAGCCCATTTCTGGTGTCCCCCGCCCTGATATTGCTGGAATATTGCTAAAAGCGGCGTAAAACCATACTCACTCACTCACTCTAAGGTTTTCCAGCTCTCTTCTATCCAAAATATTAGACATGCTCTGTTCTGGTGGTCAGATTCTGTGACTTGACTGGTACATGGAGGTACTTACATGGCACGTTACATATCATACCACCATGGCAGGGCTTGGATGAGTCCAAATTTACTACCCGGGTACCCATCCCCCTTATAACGGCCTGACCCAGGTCCCGCTGAGGGTCTCAAGAGATAGGCACAAACTATCCCATTAGGAACAGTTTGACCGTAGCCCTGGCAAAATGTATTTAAATACTTGTCTAAAAGGATCTGGTCATGCATACACCAAAGTTGACTGAAGTTTTATCGTTTATGAAACATAAAGTCAGAAGGAATGCATACATAAAGTCAGAAATAAATGCAAACATTAGTGACTTGTAGTGTAACCATGGTGTTCAAGATAATTTTTGTCATTAAACAATATATAACGTGACTAATATAATATATCACATACGTACCCGGGTCATACTCAGTACCGGTACCCACCCGACCTGAGTTCCCTGGCCCAGCCCTACATTCCACATATCAACCCGAGATGCCCTATCAGCTTGGTGGCTGAAGGCCAGGGGGCTGATATGGGGGTCGAGTGTTTACATGGGGTATGATATGTACCTGTAACATGCCTGATATCATTGACACATATTTGATAAAGAATGTTGTCATAACAACACTGATCAGTTCACTGGATCTCATCAACATGTGTGTAGCAGGAATATGATGCCTCTCATTTACTCCAACATTCATTCTCATTGTTTGAAAATATGTATTTGTATTATTTATGTGTTGAAATTGCATGGGAGACAATTAAGAGTGGCAGACTCTCATAGTTTACCGGACTTACACTCACAGTTTACCAGACTTACACTCACAGGTTACCAGACTTACACTCACAGTTTACTAGACTAACACTCACAGTTTACTAGACTTACACTCACAGTTTACCAGACTTACACTCACAGTTTACCAGACTTACACTCACAGTTTACCAGACTTACACTCACAGTTTACTAGACTTACACTCACAGTTTACCAGACTTACACTCACAGTTTACTAGACTTACACTCACAGTTTATCAGGCTTACACTCACAGGTTACAAGACTTACACTCACAGTTTACTAGACTTACACTCACAGTTTACCAGACTTACACTCACAGTTTACCAGACTTACACTCACAGTTTACCAGACTTACAATCACAGTTTACCAGACTTACACTTACAGTTTACCAGACTTACACTCACAGTTTATCAGACTTACACTCACAGTTTACCAGACTTACACTCACAGTTGACCAGACTTACACTCACAGTTTATCAGGCTTACACTCACAGTTTATCAGGCTTACACTCACAGTTGACCAGACTTACACTCACAGTTTATCAGACTTACACTCACAGTGTACCAGACTTACACTCACAGTGTACCAGACTTACACTCACAGTTTACTAGACCTACTCTTACAGTTAAAAGACTTACACTCACAGTTAACCAGACTTACACTCACAGTTGACCAGACTTACACTCACAGTTTATCAGGCTTACACTCACAGTTTACCAGACTTACACTCACAGTTTACCAGACTTACACTCACAGTTTACAAGACTTACACTCACAGTTTACAAGACCTACTCTTACAGTTAAAAGACTTACATTCACAGATTACCAGATTTACACTCAGTTTTCCAATATTCATTCACAGTTTACCAGACCTACACTCACATTTTACCAGACGTACACTCAGTTTTCCAATATTCATTCACAGTTTACCAGACTTACACTTGCAGTTTACTAGACTTACACTCACAGGTTATCAGACTTACACTCACAGTTTACCAGACTTACACTCACAGTTTACCAGACTTACAATCACAGTTTACAAGACTTACACTTACAGTTTACCAGACTTACACTCACAGTTTATCAGACTTACACTCACAGTTTACCAGACTTACACTCACAGTTGACCAGACTTACACTCACAGTTTATCAGGCTTACACTCACAGTTTACCAGACTTACACTCACAGTTTATCAGACTTACACTCACAGTTTACCAGACTTACACTCACAGTTTATCAGACTTACACTCACAGTTTACAAGACCTACTCTTACAGTTAAAAGACTTACATTCACAGATTACTAGCTTTACACTCAGTTTTCCAATATTCATTCACAGTTTACCAGACTTACACTCACATTTTACCAGACTTACACTCACAGTTTACAAGAGTAGCATTCACAGATTACTAGATTTACACTCAGTTTTCCAATATTCATTCACAGTTTTCCAGACTTACACTTACAGTTTACAACATTGAAAGCAGGGTAGATGTGTTAGTATGATTATTTAACATACGGTCAAGTCTTTGAACTCGATCATTTTGATTTCTCTTTTTTGTCGAAGCAAAATCCAATTTGGCAACACAGACTGATAAGATCTCCACATTTGTCTCAAACTATGGTTGACTTGATATTGTGTTTGATGATCGCCAGGAATCCAAGTTAACGTGGTTGCATATCTAAATCCTGTTCACCTTTTGATAAGGTTTGAGTGCCGCCTGTTTACTCAAGAAGACCGGATTGAGAGTTGCTGTCCTCGAAGCCCAGGATCGTGTTGGAGGACGGACCTACACAGTCAGGGTATGCAGATAGGTCTATGGTAGTCTTGTCTCCATTTCATTGGTATTCGCCCATCTTTGTGTCTTTCAGCTCTGAACATAAATCATAGTTATTAAACATATCATAAATATTTCACTTAACATGCTAACATAAGAACAGGTCAGTGAGCTTTTGTTGTCGCACTTTGTACCTTGTGCACTTGTTACAGTTTTTACTTCTTACCTGACATTATGAGGCCCATGAAGCTATATTGTGGCATTGATGATCCTATCTATGGCATTATGAGGCCCATGAAGCTATATTGTGGCGCTGATGATCCTATCTATGACATTATGAGGCCCATGAAGCTATATTGTGGCATTGATGATCCTATCTATGGCATGATGAGGCCCATGAAGCTATATTGTGGCATTGATGATCCTATCTATGACATTATGAGGCCCATGAAGCTATATTGTGGCATTGATGATCCTATCTATGGCATTATGAGGCCCATGAAGCTATATTGTGGCATTGATGATCCTATCTATGACATTATGAGGCCCATGAAGCTATATTGTGGCACTGATGATCCTATCTATGGCATTATGAGGCCCATGAAGCTATGTTGTGGCACTGATGATCCTATCTATGGCATTATGAGGCCAATGAAGCTATATTGTGGCATTGATGATCCTATCTATCACATTATGAGGCCCATGAAGCTATATTGTGGCATTGATGATCCTATCTATGGTATTATGAAGCCCATGAAGCTATATTGTGGCATTGATGATCCTATCTATGGCATTATGAGGCCCATGAAGCTCTATTGTGGCATTGATGATCCTATCTATGGCATTATGAGGCCCATGAAGCTATATTGTGACATTGATGATCCTATCTATGGCATTATGAGGCCCATGAAGCTATATTGTGACATTGATGATCCTATCTATGGCAATATGAGGCCCATGAAGCTATATTGTGGCATTGATGATCCTATCTATGACATTATGAGGACCATGAAGCTATATTGTGGCATTGATGATCCTATCTATGGCATTATGAGGCCCATGAAGCTATATTGTGGCATTGATGATCCTATCTATGGCATTATGAGGCCCATGAAGCTATATTGTGGCATTGATGATCCTATCTATGACATTATGAGGCCCATGAAGCTATATTGTGGCATTGATGATCCTATCTATGGCATTATGAGGACCATGAAGCTATGTTGTGGCATTGATGATCCTATCTATGACATTATGAGGCCCATGAAGCTATATTGTGGCATTGATGATCCTATCTATGGCATTATGAGGCCCATGAAGCTATATTGTGGCATTGATGATCCTATCTATGGTGTCTATAACTGCTGCTCACCGAATTCCCATCTGTCATTGATTATATGTTTCCATGGCAACTTTATTATTCCCCGCAATGCGTTCTGCATGGTGTAGTAAAACATCCACTGTCTGTCTGTGCAAGATGTCGTTTCTGTGCCGATATTGAAAACCATATAATTTTTCCTCCTGGTGGGATACTAGGGGTATGGAAGCTACCCCAAGAACTTACCAACATGAGGATTAGGTTGTTAGTGTATAGTCTACCTGCATGAGAGGCTGCTCATTCTATCAACCACTAGCTTGCTATGCCCTTATTCAATTATTTACAGTTCACCTTGATATAACTTTAACATTTCTAACTTTACTGAAGTGGACGTTGCAGATAACAAGATAATTTGTTGGTTTACATTTTGTATGGAGTTTGATTGATTATACAACAATGTGTTCTCGTTTGCAACGTTGGTGATATTGATGGTTAAGTTTAATGCAGGGACATATCTTGTATTCTTCGCAGCACCCTGCACATGGCAGTGTAGATGTGGGTGGGGCCTACATTGGACCCACACAGAACAGAGTGTACAGGCTGGTCAAGGAACTCGGACTACAAGTCTACAATGTCAACGAAGACCACAGGACTGTCCTGTATCTAAACGTCAGTGATGGTTTTTGAATATATATTTATGGGCTCTCTTTTGGTGCCTTTCATCATACTGTCACCTAAAGGCAACCCTTGGTCAATATGACAACAATCATTAAAATATTGATCATAATTTCTACACTTTTTGGATTATATCAGAATGAGAATAATGCGACATTTCACCATGACCTTTGTAATAAAGAGAGAAATTAAACTTATGGACGGAATGGAACTTTTTAATTTGTTTGAAACATTGCATGGGACTGCCTGACCAGGCATATGCTCCTGAAGTCTACTAATACTACAGCTGTGTCAAGTAATGTGCTTCTGATATATTTTCAGGGTTCCTGGTCAACTTTTAAGGGAAACATACCATCTCTGAAAAATCCTGTGAGCTATCTGGATCTCAATCATGCAATTAGAACCATTGACAAGATGGCTGAACAGGTAGACAGCATTACAATTGCTATTGGATTATTTCTTTATTTTGTTTAACTGACAATTTGTGATTTTGTAAGATAACTTTTTTTTAATTTAAAGTCATGATAAGAGCATATCTGTGAAATGAAGTTTTCTGAAAAAAATAGAATTAATAAGAAACTGTGATAATTATCAATGACTGATTTGTTCTCAAAAACTGTAATGAACCATTGATAGTTGCGGATATCGAGCCATCAACAATTCTCACTCAAGATATAGGGGGCGTTTGTGCCATTGATTCAAAGTGATTTGGTGCATGGTATTTGTGTACACGATCTAATTAACCAAAAAATCTGAAAGTTAGCAGTACATATTCTCAGCAGGGATTTTGGCTCGGAATTGAAAAATCACGAAAAATCAGTAGTGTAGCAGATTTGAACATGAGCATTCTATTTAACATCTTGGCATTTTATTTTCATTTCATGGTACATATTCTATTAAGATTTGTATGCCCTTTGACTAGAGTTGCCTGCCCTTGGTGTCTCATTCCAAAGCTCCAAAGGCGTATCTAGAACTTTGAAGAAAAAGTAGTTGTCACATAATATCCAAGCCACCAGGTGACTTTGCAGAGGGCGCAGCTAACATGTAAGCTGTCTGAAAAATGGTGGTGTGCACCATCAGCACCCCTCCTCTGACCGCCTCCGTGGTCGAGTGGTAGTGCGTCCGCCTGGAGAGCGGAAGGTCTGGTGTTCGATCCCCGGCCGCGTCATACCAAAAGACGATAAAAGATGGTACTTGTTGTTACCCTGTCTGGCGCTCGGCATTAAGGGGCTAAAACAAGGACTGGTCGGCTCGGAGTCGGTATATTGTATCTGAGTGGGGTATTCATGTTAAACTGCGGCATGGTATCTCAGTGAGTTAGCACTATAAATCGGCATCAGTCCGGACCTAGTACAAGCAGCCACACAAACACACACACGTGCATGCACGTTGCTCTATAAGTGCAATAACCTTGGACGCAACGTTAAACCCAATTTCACCTCACCTAACCTCACCTCACCTCACCCCTCCTCCACCCATCCCTCTAGATCGACCAATGAGCTCCATTGCAGTGTCAGGGGCCTTCATTACTCTCCTGCTACTGGGATACCGCTGTGAGGATCTTGTCTCATTCAATCAGAGTAATCTGCCTTTAGTTTCACTTTTCTCAAGACCATCTGTAGCCTATTGATATCAGTTGGAAACCTAAGGAAGAGAAAGTGACATTGATGTGACCCAGACTGAAGTGTGGTGCTTGCAGGTGCCCCTAGCTGCTCCCTGGAAGGCAGCCAAGGCCAAGGAGTGGGACTCCATGACTGTACAGGAGTTCATCAACTCCCTCTGCTGGACGCGGTAAATTAATTGTATCTTATTCTTAAAGGTTTATTTATTTTGCTTTAACATTTCCCTGTGGTGATTCTGGGAAGTGTAGGTTCAGAAGGTAGTGTTATATGGCTGTGCATTTTTTTGTCAACCAATAAGGGGGCACAGGTGGACCAGTCGTCTAAGGCGCCGCAATTCGCTGTGCATAGTTGCGTCCCTTGGGCACGCCAGAAACCTATGATTGTGGGTTCGAATCCCGGTTCGCCCCGATTATGTTTCTAGATTTGTCAGCACCATACCCGTGCTCGTGGGTTTCACCGAAGTGGTAAACGTCTGAGACCTGCATCACTTCGGGCTTTCCTCCCACATTAAGCTGACACGCCGTGATATAACTGGAATACTGTTAAAAGCGGCGTTAAACCCAACTCACTCACTCACTCACTGTTAACCAATTATTGTGCCTGTATTGCATTGTTTCTTTTGAGATTTGGTAGAAGCTCATTGCATTCTGTTTTGACAGTGATTGGTTGCCAGGAATGTAGTGCTGTTTAATGTAAGCGTTTTTTAGGAAGTTACTATATTTATAACTCATCACCCCAATTCCCTGCCTTGGGCATCTCGGAAGCTTGCGCTGGTTGTAAATATTATTATCACTGACTTTTGTATTTGATACTGACCACTGCAATCAGCATTGAATACTGCACTACCACTCTATGTTGTACTGCCATTGTAACTGCTGTGCAGTCATTGTATCGATTTAACCTAGTTCATTTGTAATACATTTGTTGATTATATACCACTTGTTGGTTGTCTGTTGGTTTCACACTAAGTTCTTTTACGTACAGATTTTTGGGTTAACATATTGTTTCAATTTGGGAATCAAGTCATAGCAATAGGTGATCCACTCTCCAAATTATTAAATGTAGCATGTTTTCATACTGACAAAGCTCATAAATAGAATTGTGAACAGTGCAGGACTGTTACAACCAGAGTGAATCTTTTTAGAAATAAATGTGTTCAGTATTTTCTTGGCATTGCACTTTCTAGTCGCCTGACACATGTTTTTATTTTAAATTTCTTTAAAATTTCAGTGAAGTCAAAGGAATAATAAAGATCTTTGTCAACGCTGTCTTTACATCTGAGGCCCATGAATTGTCCCTGCTGTTCTTCCTTCAATATGTCCACAGCGGCCACAATGTCAACAGGTTGTCTCTCATCACTGACGGGGCTCAGGTAGAGTGTTAGTATCCCCCTACATCCACAGCGGCCACAATGTCAACAGGTTGTCTCTCATCACTGACGGGGCTCAGGTAGAGTGTTAGTATCCCCCTACATCCACAGCGGCCACAATGTCAACAGGTTGTCTCTCATCACTGATGGGGCTCAGGTAGAGTGTTAGTATCCCCCTCCATCCACAGCGGCCACAATGTCAACAGGTTGTCTCACATCACTGATAGGGCTCAGGTAGAGTGTTAGTATCCCCCTCCATCCACAGTGGCCACAATGTCAACAGGTTGTCTCTCATCACTGATAGGGCTCAGGTAGAGTGTTAGTATCCCCCCTCCATCCACAGCGGCCACAGTGTCAACAGGTTGTCTCTCATCACTGATGGGGCTCAGGTAGAGTGTTAGTATCCCCCTACATCCACAGCGGCCACATTGTCAACAGGTTGTCTCTCATCACTGATGGGGCTCAGGTAGAGTGCTAGTATCCCCCTCTATCCACAGCGGCCACAGTGTCAACAGGTTGTCTCTCATCACTGATGGGGCTCAGGTAGAGTGCTAGTTTCTGTCTCCCAATGTATCCAAGAACTATAGTGTTTAAGCTCTTTGTATTAATTTCCCCAGGAGAAGAAGATTGTTGGAGGCTCCCAGCAGTTGTCTGAGAGGATGAGTGACCGGCTCGGTGGTGACGTTCACCTCAGCTCCCCAGTCACAAGCGTCACACAGGACGACAAAGGAGTAGTTGTCAACAGCCCAGATGGGAAAGTCGTCAAGGTCAGTGACTTACACTTGATACACAAGAGATCCCTTTTTGTATCATATCCCGTAGACCAATGATTCAAAAAGTACCAAGCTCTATAAACTATACTGTTGACAAGGAATGCAGGGGAAATAAACTGACATTTTTCCTGTTACATTATCGTGCTCAGCCATGACGCTTATACAAGGACTCATGAGAGTGTGCAGGGATGAACTGGCTCTTGACCTTCGGGAATGTATAAAAGGATAAATCATGACTACAAGATTTTGGTTGAAAAACTAAACATGAGAGAGAGGGAATAGCCCACAGGCTGAAGGCACAATTGCTATCCCCACCTCCCGAGTGTTTACATTTACAACCAAAGTCAAGAAGGGTTTTATCCAGCTTACAAACTGTCTAAATACAAGAAATACCAGAAAGATTAATAAACACATTGGGATTCGATTCCCGACATGGGTACAATGTGTGAAGCCCATTTCTGGTGTCCCCCGCCGTGATATTGCTGGAATATTGTTAAAAGCGGAGTAAAACCATACTCACTCATTCACTCTACACTTCAGTGTCAGTATGTGATCAGCGCCATGCCACTCCCGCTCCTGTCCAGAGTGCACTTCTCCCCACCACTCCCTGGCCTCAAAGCCCAGCTGATACAGCACGTCCCAATGGGCTCCATCATCAAGACAAACATGTTCTACAGCACCCCGTTCTGGAGGGAGCTCGGTGAGAACTTGACACAAGACTTGGAACTGAGGGGGATAATAGGTTCACACAGAGCACTTGACACAAGACATGGAACTGAGTGGATAATAGGTTCACACAGAGCACTTGACACAATACATGGAACTGTGGGGATAATAGGTACACACAGAGCACTTGACACAAGACATGGAACTGAGGGGATAATAGGTACACATAGAGCACTTGACACAATACATGGAACTTAGGGGGATAATAGGTACACACAGAGCACTTGACACAATACATGGAACTTAGGGGGATAATAGGTTCACACAGAGCACTTGACACAAGACATGGAACTGATGGGGATAATAGGTACACACAGAGCACTTGACACAATACATGGAAGTGAGGGGATAATAGGTTCACACAGAGCACTTGACACAATACATGGAACTGAGGGGATAATAGGTTCACACAGAGCACTTGACACAATACATGGAACTGAGGGGATAATAGGGTCACACAGAGCACTTGACACAAGACATGGAACTGATGGGGATAATAGGTACACACAGAGCACTTGACACAATACATGGAAGTGAGGGGATAATAGGTTCACACAGAGCACTTGACACAATACATGGAACTGAGGGGATAATAGGTTCACACAGAGCACTTGACACAAGACATGGAACTGAGGGGATAATAGGTTCACACAGAGCACTTGACACAATACATGGAACTGAGGGGATAATAGGTTCACACAGAGCACTTGACACAATACATGGAACTGAGGGGATAATAGGTTCACACAGAGCACTTGACACAAGACATGGAACTGAGGGGATAATAGGTTCACACAGAGCACTTGACACAATACATGGAACTGAGGGGATAATAGGTACACACAGAGCACTTGACACAATACATGGAACTGAGGGGATAATAGGTTCACACAGCACTTGACACAAGACATGGAACTGAGGGGATAATAGGTACACACAGAGCACTTGACACAAGACATGGAACTGAGGGGATAATAGGTACACACAGAGCACTTGACACAATACATGGAACTGAGGGGATAATAGGTTCACACAGCACTTGACACAAGACATGGAACTGAGGGGATAATAGGTACACACAGAGCACTTGACACAAGACATGGAACTGAGGGGATAATAGGTACACACAGAGCACTTGGCACAATACATGGAACTTAGGGGGATGATAGATTCACACAGAGCACTTGACACAATACATGGCATAGAAGTGGTTCATCACTTGTGGTGATGTGTGATGTTACGTACAGATCTAAGTGGCACTGCTGTGGTTTGTCACTGGTGATGTATGGTTTTACAGATCTTAGTGGTATAGCTTTGAGTGACACTGGGCCATCTGCAACATGTTTCGATGACACGAAGCCAGACGGCTCCCACCCTGCCATCATGGCATTCATCCTGGCTGACCAGTGTCGCAGCATCACTCAACTCACAAAGGAAGCAAGGTGGGTCATCGTCTGTGCTTTTATGTCAGTCAGCTGTATTCAAGCTCTATCAAAGTTGTCTGTAAATAATCAAGTCTCGTCCAGGAAACCAGCAGCAATACAATGTCAAACAATCAACCTGTTCACAGTACTGAAAACATGTCCTCTCACATCTTCCTGAGGCAAGGGAGTTAACTGACTTTAAAAGTCCAGTTTCCAGCCTTGCTGAACTAGGCTGGAATTCCTGGGCTCGATTATAGCGCCACCAGCGGCTGTTACGAGTTAAGTCCCTTCTAAGCCTCTCCTATTGACCCTCCTATGGACCAATCAAATTCCACCTCTCGAATCACTTGCATTTGTTTCAAACAAAATGGCAGCGCCAAGTCAAGACAATCTGATTGATAATCAAGATCAATATTGTGATAAAACAGGTCTTACATCGCTAAGTGCATCAAATCACGTGAGCACCTTGATTAAAAACTTGGAAAGATTTGGAAAATATTTGTTGACAACGAGTTGGCGGTACACATGCTGTGCAAATCCCGCAATCGACCGAAAATCTGCTTGACAGTTTTCGAACCGGATTTCGATTCGGTGCCCTAGACTCGTTAGTCCTAACTCCATAATACCAACCTAGTTTGGCAAGGGTGGAAACTGAACTTTTATAGTCAGTTAACTCTCTTGCCTCGGGAAGATGGTCCTCTCATGGAATCCCCACATTCTGCGATCAATTAGGTTTTTTTAAATGATTTATTTCAATAAAAAAATTATCATGACATAATACAGGTGTTATACATCATTTCAGAAAGCAGAAACTGTGTCAGCAGTTTGCAGATATGTTCAAATGCAAGAAATTTTTAGAGGTAATAGGTTAGATGTTTGTAAATGTTCCTTATGAAATGTATGGTCAGTGGTCAATACCATTATTATTTTTTTAGGTTCTGATTTCTGATAAAAATCGAAGTATCGCCTTGGGTTTCTCTTGTTTTCCCTTAAGGTGAAGAAGTTGATTTAAGCTTTTTAGTTTTTTAAGTTAATTAGTAACAAAGATACAAAGACAAGAACACATTTGGTTTTAATCATGTGACACAATAACCAAACTCATCATTGGACTTTTTTTACCACGCTGAACAATTTCTCTTCAGCCAGTGGGGTATGTGGAGAAGAACTGGATGGAGGATGAGTATTCTGGGGGGTGCTACACGGTCACCCTTCCCCCCGGAGTACTATCACAGTATGGAAGGTATGCTGTATGAAACTACACGAGTTCAGTATTCAGGGAACATTTTGTCATTGCTTCTCCACCAGGGTTCTCACAATGTATGGAGGTATGCTGTATGACACTACACGAGTTCAGTATTCAGGGAACATTTTGTCATTGCTTCTCCACCAGGGTTCTCACAATGTATGGAGGTATGCTGTATGACACTACACGAGTTCAGTATTCAGGGAACATTTTGTCATTGCTTCTCCACCAGGGTTCTCACAATGTATGGAGGTATGCTGTATGAAACTACACGAGTTCAGTATTCAGGGAATATTTTGTCATTGCTTCTCCACCAGGGTTCTCACAATGTATGGAGGTATGCTGTATGAAACTACACGAGTTCAGTATTCAGGGAACATTTTGTCATTGCTTCTCCACCAGGGTTCTCACAATGTATGGAGGTATGCTGTATGACACTACACGAGTTCAGTATTCAGGGAACATTTTGTCATTGCTTCTCCACCAGGGTTCTCACAATGTATGGAGGTATGCTGTATGAAACTACACGAGTTCAGTATTCAGGGAACATTTTGTCATTGCTTCTCCACCAGGGTTCTCACAATGTATGGAGGTATGCTGTATGACACTACACGAGTTCAGTATTCAGGGAACATTTTGTCATTGCTTCTCCACCAGGGTTCTCACAATGTATGGAGGTATGCTGTATGACACTACACGAGTTCAGTATTCAGGGAACATTTTGTCATTGCTTCTCCACCAGGGTTCTCACAATGTATGGAGGTATGCTGTATGACACTACACGAGTTCAGTATTCAGGGAACATTTTGTCATTGCTTCTCCACCAGGGTTCTCACAATGTATGGAGGTATGCTGTATGAAACTACACGAGTTCAGTATTCAGGGAATATTTTGTCATTGCTTCTCCACCAGGGTTCTCACACTGTATGGAAGGTATGCTGTATGAGACTACACCAGGGATAATTCTAGGGTGGGAACTTGTGCTTTTAGCCCCTAAATTTAAAAAAAAGCCCTCATTTTTAAATACAATGGGGCATTTTGAAATTGTGCTGTATGGGCGTACCTCTGGAATATTTGATATTTTCACATAAAGACCCAATTTCAGTAAGTTCCTAGAGTGAACCTTGCTTCAGTATTCAGGGAATATTTTGTTTTGACTATGCTAGTTCAGTAGTCAGGGGCTGCTATGTCTTTGCCGCTCCTGTGGGGTTTCACACTGTATGGAATGTAAGCTGAGACTATGCTAGTTCAGTAGTCAGGGGCTGCTATGTCTTTGCCGCTCCTGTGGGGTTTCACACTGTATGGAATGTAAGCTGAGACTATGCTAGTTCAGTAGTCAGGGGCTGCTATGTCTTTGCCGCTCCTGTGGGGTTTCACACTGTATGGAATGTAAGCTGAGACTATGCTAGTTCAGTATTCAGGGGGGTGCTATGTTTTCGCCCCTCCACCGGTGTTCTCACACTATGAAAGGTATAGAGGGAACTGTACAGCGGTAGAAACTAACAAATAGCAAAATCCTTAAAAAAGGACAGATTTCTACTAGTCCTTATGACTAAACTGTTACTTTTGTTTACAAGGGACTGTACTAGTTTATTATACAGGGGACTGTGCTAGTTTAGTATACAGGGGACTGTGCTAGGTTAGTATACAGGGGACTGTGCAAGTTTAGTATACAGGAGACTGTGCTAGTTTAGTATACAGTGGACTGCTAGCTTAGTACACAGGGGACTGTGCTAGTTTAGTATACAGGGGACTGTGCTAGTTTAGTATGTATACAGGGGGCTGTGCTAGTTTAGTATACAGGGGACTGTGCTAGTTTAGTATACAGGAGACTGGGCTAGTTTAGTATACAGGAGATTGTGCTAGATTAGTATACAGGGGACTGTGCTAGCTTAGTATACAGGGGACTGTGCTAACTTAGTATACAGGGGACTGTGCTAACTTAGTATACAGGTGACTGTGCTAGTTTAGTTCGAGGGGACTGTGCTAGTTTAGTATACAGGGGACTGTGCTAGTTTAGTATACATGGGACTGTGCTAGTTTAGTATACAGGGGACTGTGCTAGCTTAGTATACAGGGGACTGTGCTAACTTAGTATACAGGAGACTGTGCTAGCTTAGTATACAGGGGACTGTGCTAACTTAGTATACAGGGGACTGTGCTAGTTTAGTACACAGGGGACTGTGCTAGTTTAGTATACAGGAGACTGTGCTAGTTTAGTATACAGGAGACTGGGCTAGTTTAGTACACAGGGGACTGTGCAGGTTTAGTATTCAGGGGACTGTGCTAACTTAGTATACAGGGGACTGTGCTAGTTTAGTACACAGGGGACTGTGCTAGTTTAGTATACAGGAGACTGTGCTAGTTTAGTATACAGGATACTGTGCTAGTTTAGTATACAGGATACTCTGCTAGTTTAGTACACAGGGGACTGTGCAGGTTTAGTATTCAGGGGACTGTGCTAACTTAGTATACAGGGGACTGTGCTAGTTTAGTACACAGGGGACTGTGCTAGTTTAGTATACAGGAGACTGTGCTAGTTTAGTTTACAGGATACTGTGCTAGTTTAGTACACAGGGGACTGTGCAAGTTTAGTATTCAGGGGACTGTGCTAACTTAGTATACAGGGGACTTGTTTTAGTTTAGTACACAGGGGACTGTGCTAGTTTAGTACACAGGGGACTGTGCTAGTTTAGTATACAGGATACTGTGCTAGTTTAGTACACAGGGGACTGTGCAAGTTTAGTATTCAGGGGACTGTGCTAACTTAGTATACAGGGGACTGTGCTAGTTTAGTACACAGGGGACTGTGCTAAGTTAGTATACAGGAGACTGGGCTAGTTTAGTATACTGGGGACTGTGCTAGTTTAGTATACAGGGGACTGTGCTAGTTTAGTATACAGGGGACTGTGCTAGTTTAGTATACAGCGGACTGGGCTAGATTAGTATACAGGGGACTGGGCTAGTTTAGTATACAGGAGACTGTGCTAGTTTAGTATACAGGGGACTGTGCTAGTTTAGTATACAGGGGACTGTGCTAGTTTAATATACAGGGGACTGTGCTAGTTTAGTATACAGGGGACTGTGCTAGTTTAGTTTACAGAGGACTGTTCTAGTTTAGTATACAGGGGACTGTTCTAGTTTAGTACACAGGAGACTGTGCTAGTTTAGTATACAGGAGACTGTGCTAGTTTAGTACACAGGAGACTGTGCTAGTTTAGTATACAGGAGACTGTGCTAGTTCAGTATACATGGGACTGTGCTAGTTTAGTATACATGGGACTGTGCTAGTTTAATATACAGGGGACTGTGCTAGTTTAGTATACAGGGGACTGTGCTAGTTTAGTATACAGGGGACTGTGCTAGTTTAGTATACAGGGGACTGTGCTAGTTTAGTATACAGGGGACTGTGCTAGTGTAGTATACATGGGACTGTGCTAGTGTAGTATACAGGGGACTGTGCTAGTTTAGTATACAGGGGACTGTGCTAGCTTAGTATACAGGGGACTGTGCTAGTTTAGTTGACATGGCACTGTGCTAGTTTAGTATACATGGGACTGTGCTAGTGTAGTATACAGGGGACTGTGCTAGTTTAGTATACAGGGGACTGTGCTAGCTTAGTATACAGGGGACTGTGCTAGTTTAGTTGACATGGCACTGTGCTAGTTTAGTATACAGGGGACTGTGCTAGTTTAGTACACAGGGGACTGTGCTAGTTTAGTATACAGGGGACTGTGCTAGTTTAGTATACAGGGGACTGTGCTAGTTTAGTACACAGGGGACTGTGCTAGTTTAGTATACAGGGGACTGTGCTAGTTCAGTATACAGGAGACTGTGCTAGTTAAGTATACAGGAGACTGTGCTAGTTTAGTATACAGGGGACTGTGCTAGTTTAGTATTCAGGGGACTGTGCTAGCTTAGTATACAGGGGACTGTGCTAGTTTAGTATACAGGGGACTGTGCTAGTTTAGTATACAGGAGACTGTGCTAGTTTAGTATACAGGAGACTGTGCTAGTTTAGTATACAGGAGACTGTGCTAGTTAAGTGTACAGGAGACTGTGCTAGTTCAGTATACAGGGGACTGTGCTAGTTCAGTATACGGGGGACTGTGCTAGTTCAGTATACTGGGGACTGTGCTAGTTTAGTACACAGAGGACTGTTCTAGTTTAGTACACAGGGGACTGTGCTAGTTTAGTACACAGAGGACTGTTCTAGTTTAGTATACAGGGGACTGTGCTAGTTTAGTATACAGGAGATTGTGCTAGATTAGTGTTCAGGAGACTGTGCTAGTTTAGTATACAGGGGACTGTGCTTGTTCATTATACAGGGGTCTACAAGTCTTTAACTTGACACTTGATACCTTGCATTGTGCCATGCTCTGACATTTTGCATGAAACAAGTGCACTGCTAACATATATTCATTATTAAGGTTCCAATGTGGAATATGTTCAAGTACAAGACCTGCCTGATCACACCTGTATTGAGATTACTGTGTTGTGTCGTTTCGTTAAGTCAGGATGATTGTCATTGTTACTTTGTTGAGTTATTTAAGATACACACGGGGCAATGTTTTCTTCAGTGAGATGAGGAAGCCACACCATCGCCTGTATTTTGCTGGAACAGAAACAGCCACAGAATGGACAGGATACATGGATGGAGCGATCCAGGCCGGGGAGAGGGCAGCCAGAGAGGTGGGAGACAGAGACATGGGGGTCACAGGTGTACACATTGGGGTCACGGGTGTAGACATGGGGGTCACAAGTGTAGACATGGGGGTCACAGGTGTAGACATGGGGGTCACGTGTGTAGACATTGGGGTCACAGGTGTACACATTGGGGTCACAGGTGTAGACATGGGGGTCACAGGTGTAGACATTGGGGTCACGGGTGTAGACATGGGGGTCACAGGTGTAGACATGGGGGTCACAGGTGTAGACATTGGGGTCACGGGTGTAGACATGGGGGTCACGTGTGTAGACATTGGGGTCACAGGTGTAGACATGGGGGTCACAGGTGTAGACATTGGGGTCACGGGTGTAGACATGGGGGTCACGTGTGTAGACATTGGGGTCACAGGTGTACACATTGGGGTCACAGGTGTAGACATGGGGGTCACAGGTGTACACATTGGGGTCACGGGTGTAGACATGGGGGTCACAGGTGTAGACATGGGGGTCACAGGTGTAGACATGGGGGTCACGTGTGTAGACATTGGGGTCACAGGTGTAGACATGGGGGTCACTTGTGTAGACATGGGGGTCACTTGTGTAGACATGGGGGTCACTGGTGTACACATTGGGGTCACAGGTGTACACATTGGGGTCACAAGTGTAGACATGCGGGTCACAGGTGTAGACATGCGGATCACAGATGTAGACATGGGGGTCACAGGTGTAAACATGGGGGTCACTTGTGTAGACATGGGGGTCACAGGTGTAGACATAGGGGTCACTGGTGTACACATTGGGGTCACAGGTGTACACATTGGGGTCACAAGTGTAGACATGCGGGTCACAGGTGTAGACATGCGGATCACAGATGTAGACATGGGGGTCACAGGTGTAAACATGGGGGGTCACTTGTGTAGACATGGGGGTCACAGATGTAGACATGGGGGTCACAGGTGTAAACATGGGGGTCACTTGTGTAGACATGGGGGTCACTGGTGTAGACATAGGGGTCACTGGTGTAGACATGAGGGTCACAAGTGTAGACATGGGGGTCAGAAGTGTAGACATGGGGGTCACTTGTGTAGACATGGGGGTCACAAGTGTAGACATGAGGGTCACAGGTGTGGAATAGTTGGTCACTGGAGTAGACGTGTGTGAAATTCATCCCTAATATAACTGATGTTAATTGTACACATACTTTAACAGGGTTTGCCCTAACGCAGAAAACCTGCATATTTGATGCAGTCTAAGGAGAAAATATGCAATATTATTTTTCCATTGTGTCATAATGACCCTCAGTTTTAAGTGGCTTGGGGAAACCCACTGTTGCAAATGTGTTTACATCATGAAACAGAAATCTTTATTTGCAGGTGCTTTTTGCTGAGGGAAAGATTAAGGAATCAGAGATTATGCAAGATGAACCAGAATCAGAGGACTTCCCTGCAACGCCCCTCCCGACCTCCTGGGTAGAGCAGAACATGCCATCTGTCACTGCAGTGGTCACCAGTGTCATGCTGGCTGGCTGTGTTGGGGTAGGGGCTATCATTCTGCAGATGCTGTGATAGGGCTTAGTGAGAGTTATGGCTATCATTCTGCAGATGCTGGGACAGGGATCAGTGGGGGATGGGGTCATCATTCTGCAGATGCTGGGACAGGGATCAGTGGAGGATGGGGGTCATCATTCTGCAGATACTGGGACAGGGATCAGTGGAGGATGGGGTCATCATTCTGCAGATGCTGGGACAGGGATCAGTGGAGGATGGGGTCATCATTCTGCAGATGCTGGGACAGGGATCAGTGGAGGATGGGGTCATCATTCTGCAGATGCTGGGACAGGGATCAGTGGAGGATGGGGGTCATCATTCTGCAGATGCTGGGACAGGGATCAGTGGAGGATGGGGTCATCATTCTGCAGATGCTTGGATAGGGCTTAGTGAGAGGTGTGGCTATCATTCTGCAGATGCTGTGATAGAGCTTAGTGAGAGGTGAGGCTATCTTCAGATGCTGGGATATACTGCTCTGAACACCCCAACCCCCAACCCCCACCCACTCACCTTCAAAACAAAATGAAAAAATCTATGGAAAATATTTTCTTATATGTTTTTTTGTTACCTTGACATCCTCAATGTGTTTTATCCATCGTGTCTATCCATCCCCCTGTTAGCAATGAAACCTGAAATCGTTTCTTCTATTATGTCAATGTTATTTTCACATAACTAGTCCGCAGGTAAACAAACATTTTGTCATGACCAGCTACACTTTCTGAATATGAAGGCCGTCCCGCCAAACTCTTCTTACCATATACCATTGAATGTATCATTGTATGTTTTTCAAATTTTCAGAGGATGTTCATAATATCCTTCTTTACGACATGTTACAATGAAGTTAAATTTTATTGTTTTATTGTTGTCATGGCATTTAGTAGAATGAGGGTGTTTGTAATCAGTTGAATATCAAACTTTGTCAACTTCAGGCCACAAAACAAATATGTGTGTTTCCGGTTTCCCAACAGACCCTAGAATTTTGTGCCAACCCTAATTATATTTAGCGACATACAACACTGGACATTCAAAAATCATTGTTTTTAACGTACGACACCAGTGGTCAAGAACACGATATCAAAATGACAGGGTTAACAGCAAGTATGCTTGCACTTAAATTTGCCAAATGCGACCACCTACCGTGCAAAAAATGACTGTTGGTGCCAGCAGTATTCTCCTGTGGCTCTGCACGTTCAGTGTGAAGTCAGTGTAATTTGTTTGCCTGAAGGATCCAGAGTTTACAAGGGAAAAGGAAATTATTTCGGAGGCCACACATAAAGCTATCAATGCTTTTGAGGCTTTCATGTCTAAAGGAAGTGCACTGCCATCGAAGAAAACTAAAAGTTAATTTGTCTTGAAAACTAGACAAAGCCTTCCCGTCATACTGAACAGTATGATTCAATCAGAATGTACCAAAAATATATTTATTATATATGTCATTTTATCAGTTCATTTCATTCAAGAAAATTAATATTTCAGACGAAATGATTTCATGTTCTGTCAAAATAGAAGAATGTTATGCGCACACCCTCCAACTTGCGAGTAAATTGACCTTGAAATTGTATTTTTTCGAACCAGTTTATGAAATCTTTTATCTACTAACGTTGTAACGGTCTTCAGATCGCACAACCTGTTTCGCTTTTGCCCAATGAAAGTTATTGTTCTGGCATATGATTTGTTTATTTTTAATGTTTTATGAAAGTACTTTTAACCCCAAACTGACATTTAACAAGGAACACATGACTTCCCAGTCAAAGCCAACAATTGAAAAACCTTTGACCTTTGTGAAGGTTAAGGCCACTTTAATTCAAAAATTATCATTGAAATTCAATATACTAACATCTGTGTGTATTGCAGATATCTTCCTACAATGAAGTCTACATATTTCTATTAAGTAAATTACTGAAATATATAAATTGTAAGTGTTTCCATGGCATTTGATTTGTTGACCAAGCCCAAGGTTCTGCATACCAGGGTAAGTGTTTATAAAAACAGAAAGCAATTTACGCCACGCCCACTTATGGACTTGTCTGTTTTCTGATTTGCTGATAATAGAATTGGTGCACTTAACGATGTAACTGATTTGGTATTGTTTCATGTGTTGATGAATAAATGAGCAGTCTCTGAAGTTGGAATTGTTGACCTGTTTATTTATAAGAATTGACTTTAATATGTTCTTATATTTATGGAGGTATAAACACGAAAAACTGGTGTGCACGCTTTGCACAAATCCGCCATGCGGATCTACAATTGGCACACTGGTTTTCTTGAACAAGTAACACAAATATTTGTTCAATTCACCTCAAAACCAAATGGATTTACCAGATTCTGTTGTTTTGGGTGCAGGGACTATCAGTAATACAGTTTGGGTTTGCCAGGCTTCACTTGATTCCCTAGAATGTAATGGCTGTCACAACAATGCACATGCTCAGAAGCCTCAGCCAATTTTAATGGGGATTTTAATTTTTGAATGAAGAAAATCAATCCTACCGACACACACTCTGGACTTTGATTTGTGTTTCTTACCAGAATACAATTGTCAGTTATCTGTGGCATTCACTTAGAACAGCCATATTTGTTTCACAACACGCAGGACAAGCAATGTAAATCATTTGCATCCAAGCATGTTGTGAGAGTGCAAGAGTGCTATTTTTGCGTCCAGTTTGAAACTGCTTCCCACAACAACAAATAGGCAACTTCAACAACACTGTATGTGAAGTAGATCTAGACAGTTTATAAACACTTCATGCAAGATTCAGTCATCACTGCTATACAAATATTTTCTGCATACATTCTGAGGACTATGCAAAGATCCTCAGGATTTGAACATGCAAAGATCTACCACGTCCAGCTTGCTCAGTCTGGCAACTTGAAAGACATTTACCCAGCTGAATGTGCGTTTGAGAGGTGTTCAAATAGAAACTAGCCCTTATTCAAATGAAAATAATCCGACTTTTTTGCCTTTGTGTTTGTAATATGTATATCTATATGTAAAGATGGACGTCTTGGGATCCGAGATTCAAATACTAGATCAGAAGAAAAAAAACAAGACCCAGGAGTCCACTTCATTTTGAGACCTGTGAAGAACCAGGGTAGAATAGGTCTTCAGCAACCCATGCTTGCCGTAAAAGGTGACTCTGCTTGTTGTAAGAGGCGACTAATGGGATCAGGTGGTCAGACTCGCTGACTTGGTTGAAGCATGTCATCGATCCCAATTGCGTGGATCGATGCTCATGATATCAATCACTGAATTGTCTGGTCCAGACTGAATTGTTTACAGACCGCCGTCATAAAGCTGGAATATTGCTTAGTGTGGCATAAAACAACAAACAAACCAAACAAACTTCATTTTGAATACTGCTGGTCAGTAACATTCAAATACAATAATTCAACATATTAAAGAACCTAATGTAAACCCAAAACCACATACAATTTAGGCCCTTTCGACCTTATCTTATGATCTAGGCTAGATCTGTACACATTTTAGTTGACTATTACAGAAAACCACAAAAAGTAACAGTTTAATTTAGTTTACCTTGACAGTTTCATAGTAAAAACTCACTCCTTTTCCCAAAAAATTGGTGAGTATGATACACTCCTGCTATGTGTTCTCAAAATCATCTGCTGGACCTTCGACTTCTGGGCCTAGCAGACGACCATTTTTGGCAGCACCTCTAGTGGAAGGAGCAGATATATCTAAGGGGGATAACTCTGGCCACTACACTCTATGCTGAAGTGAAGGGCTTGGAATGGAGTTCAAATCTGTCTACAAATGTCACCCCGCGGGAAGCTGTCAATCTGATATTGCTCATGCCGAGCACTGCCCGGATTATTTGCGTGTTTTGTGCCATAAAACGAAACAATGTTTAATATAGTGATCTCGATATTTCTGAAGATCCGGGGTACGAAAGGTCTTCAGCAACCAATGCTTGCCGTAAAAGGCGACTTTGCTTGTCGTAGGAGGCGACTAACGGGATCGGGTGGTCAGGCTCGCTGACTTGGTTCAAGCATGTCATTGATCCCAATTGCGTCGATCGATGCTCATGATATCAATAACTGGATTGTCTGGTCCAGACTCGATATTTACAGACCGCCGTCATATAGCTGGAATATTCCTGAGTGAGGCGTTAAACAACAAACAAACAAACAAACAAAACAAACTTAGACATAAAGTCATTTTTGACGACTCCAGTTTGTCGTATTTTGTGCATAAGGGTAGAAGCTTAGTTTGGGATTATTCTCTTCCCCCTGTACCGACTCAAAGTAATACTTCATCGGATCAAGTAGTTGCTCACGAAATGTTTGACCACTTGTTTTACATATTTGATCTAAATCACGCGTATTGTTATTGTTACAAAATAGTGTATCCAAAATTGATGTATAATATTTTCCAACAGGATTAGTGTGAAAGCTCAAACCTTTGCCTTGTTTGGGAATTAAATGTTAATAATAGTACAGTCGGGGAAAAAATCTCATTTCCGGGCCTCAGAAAGAGAATATGCACTATGTACAGTCCTCTTTTTCATATGGGCAGGGAATCAACAACTACCATATTTTAACGTCTTTTGGCATGACGCGGATGGGGATCAAAACACCCACCTTCCTCTCTCCGGGCAGACGCTCGATCCACTAGAACACGGAAGCGGCCGGTCTCACTGAGTGGAACGGGGCCATGCAGGAGGCAACAGGATCATACACCTCCTCATGTAATTCAGCCCTTTTATAAAGGGAGATGGTATTATCGTACCTGCTTTTGGCACATGTATGCTAGTTCTCAATGCAGACGTGCAGATTCGCCCGATTATGTTTCTTGTTTTGTTAGCACCCGTGCCTGTATGCTTCACCATCTTGGTAAACCCGGAAGATGTGTGACATTTCAAACTGAATTGCTGCGCGAAACAGCATTATGAACACTGTACAGTGTATAGCACCTTGGCGGTAACACACGGACACTCTATGTTATCTCCCACACAATGATCTGTTACCCATTTTGTGTTTGTTTATTGTGTTTCACCGTAGTCAGCATTATTTCAGCTCTATCACAGATGCTTGTAAATAGCCGGACAAACCAGTGGTTGATATTACGAGCAACGTCTTATGCCGTCGGGGTACGATGCCACGCTATCCACCAATTCATTGACCAATTGAGCTGCTACTATAACTCTGGGGACTTATTTAAAACCTGTTGTCTGCGAGGCGTATCTAATTGTGAACGGATGGGGAATTCAAAGTAAACGGAATTCAGATTTGTCTCTGCAACTACATCCTTATTGGTCATTGAAAGTGAGTGAGTATGTCTTAACGCCGCTTTTAGCAATATTCCAGCAATATCACGGTGGGGGACACCAGAAATGGGCTTCACACATTGTACCCATGTCGGGAATCGAACCCGGGTTTTCGGCGTGACGAGCGAACGCTTAAACCACCAGGCTACCCGACCGCCCCTGGTCATGGCAAGACCACCATCGATATTAACACGTCATTTGTCTGAATGCACAATCATGTGCAGACATCTGCGTATGAAAATCATTAACCACTTTGAAACAGGCAACTATTTTATTCATGTTCATGTATACAACATCTCCAACAGGCCTGTAAATTAAATTATTCTTATAAACATTAACGTTCTCCTTTACCATACACAGCTAAACATAAGTAAAACTAATAGCATATAGTTCATGATCATTAAGATCAACATCAGCTGGCATCAGCCGTTACGATTCTTCCCCGATAGTGCCTCTAAATAAGAGTGGATTTGTAATTGATGCCTTGCCTTGGGCAATAGGGGTAATGTATTTGTTAACGTATTAACTTCAAACCTAACAGTTTGATTCATGAACAAGCTTATTCACCTTCCCAAATGTTCGGATATCTTGCAGAAGGTTTGCCAGCCCAACCTGCACAAACACCAAGTCAGAGTCGGGAGTCATGGGTTCAGTCGTGTCCGTCTTCAGTGGGATCCCACCCTCCAAGACCTCATACTCGGGGTCATGGAAGAAGGACATAGCTTGATAGTAGTAATCCATGGTCCGGGTTATCTGCTCTCTCAGAAGCATGAGGTTCTCGTTCGATGTCTGACGGAATGCGCCGTAGTGGTAGTTCAAAAGTTGCTGATGGTGCCGCTGACGATCACTGACAGAGATGCGGATGTTCTCGAAGGCATCGTGGATTCTCTGCCTCTGCTCGCTGGCTTTCCTGGTTATCGGTTCCAATGCTTTGACAGATGTGATCTTGGAATCCAGGCGGTTGGACGTGCTCTTCAGGCGCTCCTTCTCTTCGTCATATGCATCATCAATGTCTTGAGTGTCGTGCCCGGAATGTTCCTTTGTGTAGCAGTAGAGGCAGATGAGCTTCCGGCACGATGTCTCCCGGCAGTAGAACACCACGGGGTAGTCAGGGTGAGAGGAACACTTCTGCTTCGTCTCCTGTTCTGTCAGTGGGTGGGAGGTGAGGTCTCCCAGGTCCACGGAGATATGGTTCATGGTAGACTCCAACTGGGCGTGGTAGCTCTCGCATTGGTCACAGAGGAAATGGTTGCATTCAAAGCAGTACACCTTCCCCTTATTGCCATCCAGTTTGTTGGTGCATTGCAGCCTCTCAGGGGCGTGCTTGGCCATGTATAGGATGAGCTCATTGCGGTGGACGTAGTCGACTGGAATTCCCTCCCGCCCGATCTGCTCGGCGGAGCATGTCTTGCAGTCGGTGTCCCGGAGGTCCCCGTGTTGTTGCAGACAGGGTTCGCAGATAGCGTGGAGGCAGCGCAGGAGGCGGGGGTCACGGCGCTTCACGGCGTACTTCTGTTCACAGAAGGAACAACCAAGCAGGTCATCATGGTTCATTCTGACGATCTGTAATGAAAGATAGATATGAGAATCAGGTCGAATACATTTGATAGAATAAAGTTGTAGGGAAGTAAGGTATGTGAATACCCTCCTGGCATCTCCCTATGTGGAGTCTATGCACCCTGGACGGCAGGTTACACACGAATAAGTGTGCATATTGTGTGCAACATCAGACCGCTTTCAACATTGCAATAGGAAATCAGATTTGTCACACCACAAACACATCATCATTTGGAACAGTGAAACCCAGTTAGTCCTGAAATCCCCCCTGTCCTGAACCTATCAATGCAACCATTTCCTCTGCGACCAAAACGAGAGCTATCATTCCCGTCAGTCCTGAAACCACGTTAGTCCCAAATCCTTGTTAGTCCCGAAACACCTCTATTCCTGAAACCTCATTCTACTAAAGTCCCGAAACCTTGCTAGTCCCGAAACCTCGTTTGTCCTGAAATGTCGTTTGTCCTAAAACCCCGATAGTCCTGAAACCTCATTAATCCTGAAACCCCATCAGCCCCGAAACCTCTAGTCCTGAGACCTCGTTAGTCCTGAAACCCATTTAGTCCTGAAACCTTATTAGTCCTGAAACTTTGTTAGTCCTGAAACCTCGTTTGTCCTGAAACCATGTTAGTCCTGAAATCTCGTTAGTCCTGAAAACCCATCTGTCCTGAAACCTCATTATTCCTGAAACCTCGTTTGTCCTGAAACCCATTTAGTACTGAAACCGCGTTAGTTTTTATTTTTACAGATATTCTCACAAGTTTCCCTGTCGATTGTCTATGCCTTGTCTCCCAAAACCAATTGCCTTATATCTTCCACTTTTGGGTGCGAGCGTTCGGCCATTGGGTTTATCTGCGTTGCCCAACTACATCTATGGTGAACGACTCACGAGACACTTCCCTCTCGAAAATAACGTCGTCCAATTTACGACGCGATTAAGTTTCGAGCCTGTGTTTGAATTTCCAGAAATGACGTCATGATGGAACAATTATTTTCGTAAAAGAAAAAGAGAATATTTCATGTGGCGAATGAAATATTATGTTTCTCTCATCGAGTCATGGGGGATAAGGAGATATTTTCAGTGGCGTTATGGAACATCCTATTTATTATATACTTTTTGCGTAGTTGTCTTCCGGAAAATGTAAAACATTGAAACGTAAACTCTTGCTACTTAACACACAAGGACGTTTCACCTACCCTTATAAAGGCGACTTGAAAAGTAGTTCCATGTTTGTAAAATCTTTAAAAAATATAAACAAAAGTAAACAAAGATATTTATGTTCACGAAAACTCTTTATCATACATTTAGATGTGATAACATACAAAATCAACTTAATTAAAATGTTCTTGAAATCTACGAGACCGCTGTTGGAAGCGAAAGAATACAGGCTGGTCAAGTAACAAAAAAGGGCTTTGCGAAAAGAACATTGACGAGTTAAATGATATATTTTGAGTTTATAACGAAATATTTTTAAAAGAATAGCAAACGGCAAGAATCGATATTAACTCCATAAATGACCATCTGCCATTTTTTTTGGCCTTATCATAGTGGAACTAGCGTAAAAAACAGGTAAACAGTTTGTGTGGGGGCTATATATTGACGATAAAGAGAGACAATGTGTGGGGAGGTAACTCTTGTATGACAAAATTTCCGTCCAAGTGTTACGTTCACTGCGGTGAAATATCAAGTGTTATGTTCACTGCAATGAAAATATCACTTTTCGCAACTTCAGAAAACTCAGTCTTTCACACAGAAATATATCATAAACGCTTCGTTATTCATAGTTATTTTCCATTTATCGCGTAGCTGTCTTATATACTTCGTTGTGGATCACGTTGTGCAAAGTCACTCCGTTTTCAACACCGACTTATCTGATACAAGGTTAAACCCATGTTGATGGTTATCGCAGCTGGTAAAATCTCCATGACGCTACTGGACATTACTCCATTTATACTGTTGTAATATAAATATTTGCCTTGTTGTTGCTTAAATATTTGACACGTTAACATGTTAACATTCCATATCGGATCCGCATTTTCTTCTTTGCATGAAATACTGATGAATACATATACACATACATAGACCAGCAAGTGTAGATCTGTGCAGGTAATCAATAGTTTGTCATATACACACATGAAACCCATTGTGTTTGTTTGTCTGTTTGTTTGTTTGTTTGTTTGTTTGTTTGTTTGTTTGTTTGTTGTTAAACGCCGCACTCAGCAGTATTCCAGTCATATGTAAATAATCGAGTCTGGACCAGAAAATCCAGTGATTGATATCATTAGCATCGATCTACGCAATTGGGATACGAGGACATGCATCAACCAAGTTAGCGAGCCTGACCACCCGAACCCGTTAGTCGCATCTTACGACAAGCATAGTCGCCTGTTACGGCAAGCATGGGTTGCTAAAGACCTATTCTCACCCGGATCTTCGCGGGTGAAACCTCTTGTGAAATATTGTGCAAGTGGAGGAGTAGTTACGCTGTTTACTGTAAGACTAAAAGTAGCTTACCTCAGAATGAATTGAGGGAATAAAATTGAGAGTCCTGTACATGGAGGTGTCTACCAACTCTTCCTTTAGGTCTACAATTGTTGACAACTCTTGGCTGCCTGCTCATCTCATCATCCCCTCATCTGACCGTACAGCATCTGAAGCCGGTCACGCCACCTCTGTCCAGAAGCAGCTTGCATTACGACTCGTTTTATGAGCCGCTGTAAATTCCGATACACTGGATCTTGATTTACCCGTGTGGTCCCGTGGGAGAGACGTAAATGTCAGCGTTTGAATATTAGCGTAAATAAAATTTATGAGCATCGTGACAATGGTTTGACAACACATGCGGTGACAGGTCGATGAGTTGCGTTGTAGACTCTCGGCGTGAGCTGACGCCTTCTGGATATAGATCAATGGGACGTTATATTGCACGCGATAATTGCATGTATCTATTATTGGTTCCGTGATCGTGAATGTTGTGCAAAATATACGTTCAGCTATGTGTCAAGTTAAGCTTTGTTGTTCGTATAAATGTATGATAAGCGGGGCTGATTAAACGTTGAAAGGTGTAAACTGGTGTGTCGTATATATTCTAGGTGAGGTGAGGTGAAATGAGGTTTAACGTCGCGTCCAAGATAATTGCACTTATATAGCGACGTGCATGCACGTGTATGTGTTTGTGTAGCTGCTTGTCCTAGTCCGGACTGATGCCGATTTATAGTGCTAGCTCACTGGGATACCATGCCGCAGTTTAACATGAATACCCCACTCAGACACAGTATACTGACTCCGAGCCGACCAGTCCTTGTTTTAGCCCCTTAATGCCGAGCGCCAGACAGGGTAACAACAAGTACCATCTTTTAACGTCTTTTGGTATGACGCGGCCGGGGATCGAACCCCAGCTCTCCGGGCGGACGCTCTACCACTAGACCACGGAGGCGGTCCGTATATATTCAAAGCCTTTCCTGAAGGTCTACACTGCAAGTCTCACAATGCAAAAATAATCTCTAGGGCTACACCCTCTACCCAGCAATCCTCTTCTCCGTATCCAGCAGAATGAGAATATTGCTTTACGCCGCATTGTTCATGCATGAACAATCCACATCGGGGTAAGATGACACACAAGTCAACGACCCCGACGAACACCACTTTAACTATTTAGATTATCAGAGGTTGTATCCCTCTCTTAAGAAATCAATATAAGTATTGGGTAATACATTGTTATATCTATACCCTCTGCTATGCAAATATTGACGCTTATGCGAAAACAGGGACCCGTGGACCCGACCTCTGAGGCCTCTCATGTTTGCATCATTCGTGACCAACTCGTGTTATTCCGGGACAAGCCGAATAGCTTCTTGCAGGTTACGGAAAGGGGCGAGAGGTGACGAATGATGTTTGCTTATAAAAGTACCTCGTCGCAGAGAAGGTTAATGCACGGAACTTACGATTGGGGTCATTTCACGGAACTTACTATCACAATCGCAGGCCGAGTAACTATAGTGTTATTTCTTATTGAAATACGAAGGGTAATTAAGATGTTTATATATTTATGTTTTATCAACGTTTTGCATGTAACTAAACTATCGACAGTCTAACCTGCTTTTTGATGCCTTTAATTTGTGGCAGCACCTTTTAATTTCGATCAGTCGGTACAACCCTAGTAACCGAAAGACGGGTAATTGCCATTTGTTCAATACTTATTCTCTCTTGTCTTCGATACACGTTCTCATATTGAATACAGAAAATTAATCAATTAGACTTAATTAATAACATGCTTTGTATGTGTTCTATGGCAATATATCTTTGAGTGAGTGAGTGTGAGTGAGTATGGTTTTACGCCGCGTTTAGCAATATTCCAGCAATGTCACGGCGGGGGACACCAGAAATAGGGTTCACACAATGTGTCCATGTCGGGAATCGAACCCGGGTCTTTGGCGCGACGAGCGAACGCTTTAACCACTAGGCTACTCGACCGCCACTATCTTTGAGAGAACCCTTTCAATGTCCTTATGTTCTTCCTTGCGACTTGCGACCATCTGTCGTAACATACAGTGTTCTTGTTTTGTATCGGGGGTATCTCAGACGTGTTTCAATGTTATATCAGTGTCACATGAAGATATGAATTTACGAAAAATGCTTGGAAGTTCGGAATATATTCAAATAACGATGGATGGTGCCAGACATTTTCCCAAGTGTACAGATATCCTTTTACGGTCGAAAACAAATACACGAGGAAACGTTTATCTTGCCTACTTGTCTGCAGTGAGTGAGTGAGTATGGTTTTACGCTGCTTTTAGCAATATTCCAGCAATATCACGGCGGGGGACACCAGAAATGGGCTTCACACATTGTACCCGTGTGGGGAATCGAACCCGGGTCTTCGGCGTGACGAGCGAACGCTTTAACCACTAGGCTACCCGACCGCCCCTGTCTGCAGTGACTTCTAGATAATAATTAACACATCAATGACTCAACCGATATGCTTACTTCGATTCGTGTGTCTATCTTGTTTTGCTATAAATGTCTTTTGTAAAATGAAAATGTTTATTTCAGGTTTATCTGTGGCGTAAAACCATACTTACTCACTCACTCACTGTATTGATATAGACGCAACAGGTCTTCCTGGGTTGCTGACAGTCTTTGACATATTAAAACCATCCACGGTTGTACAACATAACACCCTTATCAGTTGTTTGGGTTGGTGTTGGGTCTTTAGAACACAAGTCACATCCAAGGTTCTCCAGACCATACTCTATATTAAGCATTATGGCCAACACACCTGCGTGACGCTATGGTACTATGTCCGCCAACGGGTAATTCCCTACGGGTGATACCATGTGTTCTTGAACGCCGCAATGCTCCAGCTATGTACGGCGAGCCGAGCATGACCAACCGATCCATTTAGTCGCCTCTAACGACACTGTGATATGGGGTTTAACGTCGTGTCCAAGATTACTGCACTAATATAGCGACGTGTGTGCGTGCGTGTGGATGCTTGTACTATTCCGGACTAATGCCACTGAGATACCATGCCGTAGTTTAACATGAATACCCCACTCAGACATAGTATTCTCCGAGCTAACCAGTCCTTGTGTTAGCCCCTTAATGCCGAGCGCCTCACAGGATAACAACAAGTACCATCTTTTAACGTCTTTTGGTATGACGCGGCCGGGGATCGAAAGCCGGACCTTTTGCTCTCTGGGCGGACGCTCGTCAACCAACGACAAACATGGGTGGCTGGAGACGTATATTCTTATCGGAATCCCCTATAGGTTTGTGCTGCACTTTGTATACAGAATGGTTATACTACAAAATGACACACGTTGACTTTTATTCCCTTTATTCACCGTAAAGCAATAACAATATCACAGTTCATGGATAAAACTATCCTACTAAAGTGGCAAAGCTATCAATATCGTAACACCTAAGGACACTCAAAAACAGCGCGGCAGAAACAAACGACGCATCCCTGAAATGAGAGACGGAGGTTGTTAAGTAATACAAGTTTACAACTTTCTTCGAGGCATAATACAAATTACATTATTCAGCAATGGTTTCTGAAAATTACATTTAAGCTTATGTTTCTCGTCATTGATTATATTTTCGTACATTTAATATCATCCTTTTTGTAACCACTAAATCTACTTAACATCGACAAAAATGTCTATCTAACAATTCCATCATAACCTAAAGAGGCCAAAAAAGCTTTCCAGTAACCCTCGTGATAATCTGAACAGCGTATTACATGCCAAATACTTGACTTGCTTTCTCTAATGAAATTAATCAAAATAACCACGAAAATATCTAGTTACACTCTGCCAACCAGTCTGGCGTATGACGACATTTCGACACGGGTCAAATCCTACCAAAAATATATTCCTATCTAAATCAATGCATGTAAAGAGCTTATGATTTACAGGCAAGTATAGTATTAAACGACGCAACATAACTTAAACTTATCTAATCTTTATTACATACATGCTACACCTACATCAATTAGCTAAGGTGTAAATGACCTAACTGCAACCACTAAACCCTATGATACGGCAAATGTTTCAGAAATATGTCGAAAGTTCACATCAAAGAACCAGTCCATACTGACGGCATTGCACCATCTAGATATTCTGGAGAATCAGCCAGGCGATATTCCTGTCCATCTTCAGATTCGTGCCGCTCACGAGCGCTGTTTCCACATGGGACAAGTCAGTGTTGTAGACGCCAAACACTGGCCAGAGAGGGCGAGAGATCTTGATGTTATCAGCTGTAAGAAGAACCTTCTCCTCGTTGCAATCGATCACCACCAGCTTCTTCTGCTTCTGCATGATGAAAAAGCCGAACCGGAGTCGAGCCTTGGAGTCTGGTTGATTGGGCAGAGTGTGTGGGTAGTGTTTCAGACTCTGCCCAGCTCCCCAGGTTCTGCGGCACAGGCCGTCATGTTCTGGGCAGTTAGACAGTGAGACTCCCCATGCATGACCCTGGTCCTCGGCCTTGTGGTGGAGATCTATGACGTCCCTGTCTGCAACAGCAGCTTCAAAGATGAGGCTTCTTCCTCCATGGATCTGCTTGATCTCAATGTCGGTCCAAAACTCCAAGTAGGACATCCCTGTGCCGTCTAGAGGACGAGTGGACAAAGCTCCTTTGTAGTTCTTGAATCTCCAGCTGGCATTTGGTGATGGCAGGTTGGGGGGATCGTTGACCAGTTTCCCATCGTGTGTAACGTGATTCTCCTCGTAGACGGTTCCTTTGTCAAACTCCATGTATACGCCTGAAAACAGATATTCACAAAAACAGATATTCACTGCGGCACTGTATCCGAGTGGGCTAACACTATGAACTCATGAACTCGGCATTAGTCCGGACACTCAGACACACACACACACACACACACACACACACACACACACACACACACACACACACACACACACACACACACAGGCACACACACACTCGCACACACACAGTCACACACTCGCACACACACACACTCGCACACACACACAGGCACACACACACACTCGCACACACACAGTCACACACTCGCACAGACACCCACGCAATCACACACTCATACACACTGTCACACACACACGCAGTCACACAGACGCACACACGCATTCACACACACAGACACACACACTCACACACAAACAGACACACACGCAGTCTCACACAAACAGACACAAATACAGACACACACACGCAGTCACTCACTCACACACGCAAACACACTGTCACACACACACACACGTGCACGTCGCTATATACTCCATTACAAGGGCGATCTGTAATTATTCGAGTCTTGGGCCAGGCACATGATCACACTACATACACATCACACAAACCAAACACTTCACACACATACACCACATAGCCTGTACAATCCCCTTTCCTTTTACAACAAGCATGGGGTATTTTGGCACATATCCTACCCTGAAAAACCAAAAGTGGAGAATACAATAAAAATAAAGTTATAATGCATAGTAACGAATTACGAAAAAAAACACATATAGATTAATAACGATTGCATATATTGCCATGAACACGGCAAGAACATCTTGACTTACACTTGATTGTGTGTTCAGGCTGGAACAACTTAGGGGAGACTGAGAGAACAGCGTCACGATCCGAATCTGCAACAGGGAACATGGATGAGATCGAGATACTTCATTAGGCATCCTTCAGTCAGATAATTTAAAGCATACATACTCCAGAATGATGCCTGGATAGTGTATCGCATCAACAAAAAGTAAATACATTTGCAGACATAAAAAAGGTAATTTTTATTGCAATTAAAATAGTAAATAGACAGTTACCCGGGACATATATAATTCCGAGCGAGTTTGATTTTACACCGCTTTTAGCAATATTCCAGTAATGACACGGCGTGGGACACCAGAAATGGGCTTCACCCATTGTACCCATGTCGGGAATTGAACCCAGATCTTTTGCGTGATGAACCAATGCTTTAACCACTATACTACCCGACTGCCCCCATATATATTTCTGACAAACGAGAGATGACACCATCAATTGTGATGAAAACAACATATTGAAAATACTCAGTTCCATGATTTACCTGGCTCTGGTGTAATGCTGTATATCATAGTGTCTTTTGTGACAGGATCATCATCATTCTCTCTCAGTTTCTGGTGATGGGCATGGACGTAAACTGCCAGTGCAGACGATCCCGGGAACATGCCAGCTTCATTTGGTGCAGGTCGGTCTTCTGTTGGATCTAGCCGTGGAGCTTCATCGTATGAATCTGGCGCAGATCGTTGTTGTGGTGCTTGAACTGGTGTGATCACATCGCAGTCCAGAGGTCCATCATTCGGTTGATTTCGATCATTCGGATATCTACTGTGAGGCATCTGCCCCTGGGGATAGTTTCCTGGACTACCATTAGCTGTATCTCTGGTCTGTGGGCCATGTGGGTTTTCTCTAGCGTCGTATCTTCCGTCATCCGGATTCTGGTACATTGGGTCAGCATTTCTGTTTTCTGGATCATACGGGTTTCCGCTAGGTTCGTACCTTCTATCAACGGGATTCTGATAGATGGGGCCTGCAACCCTGGTTTGAGGGTCATATTGATTCCCTCGATGATCGTAACGCCTGTCATCTGGACTCTGGACAGGATTATTTTGTTGGTATGGGTACCCTCCCTGGCCTCTTCTGTCTGGACCGTTCAGGCCATCTCTACTGTATGGATCATGGGGAGGCAATCCTTCAACATCCTTTCCCCCTGTATAACCATTAAAATCAACATCTCTGCTACCTCTCCTTGGGGGCACTGACTGAGTGTTTGGATCTAACATTGTATTCTGAGGCATGGAATTAAAATCTCGTCCGTCTTCTTGAGGCATTGATGCTCTACGCATTGGCGGCATGGACTGTAGAGAAGACCGTCTCTGCTCTAAAATGATATCACTCTCGGAGAGTTTATGCTCTTTTGGAAATGTTTTGTCCTTGACTGCAGCATCAACATCCTTCTCATTGAAAACCTTCCCAAAATTCTCAATTTCTTGAACCAGGTCAGGTAGGCCATCATCTCGAAACATGACATCACTAGGAGGAACTGGATCGGCGATGTCTTGACTCAGGAGCTCCTCGGCTCGTGTGTGAATCATCCCAGTCAAACTAAGTAGCTCGGGTTTTGTTGTGTAGACAAGAGTCTTATCACAGTAAGACTTTGTGTTCTCAAGATGAGCTAGCAAAGAAGCAAGGTCAGTATCTCCCCTTCCAGAATGAGGGGAATGGTCACCAAATGATGCCAGCAGTTCTTCTTCTCTCTGGTCGATGGCAGCATAGAGTGACTCAAATACCCTGTCCATATCTCTTTGCAAGCCTCCATCTTCATTAGGCAGAGGTTCCTGGGACTCAAGTTCTCTCAGCTGGCAGTTGATCCTGTCAAGGAGGGGGAGCAGACTCTGGCACACATGACAGGGGAGACTCCCATCTCCCTGTCTTATCTCAACTGGCATCCTGTGCCACTGGTAAGGTCTCCTGAAATCAAGAATATATATATATATATATCACTAATTACCATTTCAATTTCATAGTACATGAGGGGGTTGGTCGGGTAGCCTAGTGGTTATAAAGCGTTCACTCCTCACGCCAAAGACCCGGGATCGATTCCCGATATGGGCACAATGTGTGAAGCCCATTTCTGGTGTCCCCCGCCGTGATATTGCTGGAATATTGCTAAAAGTGGCGTAAAACCATACTCACTCACTCATAGTACATGATCTACAAACTGCATGTGTATATTTTTTAGACAAGTTTTGTGCCAAATTAACTGACACATTCCAAATGTGATTGGGTCCTAGTTAAGTCATTAATCTGTTTGAGTTTATTAACTAAAATCTCAGTATAATATTATTGAAGTATATACTCATCGACAAAAGAAACGCGAATATCATAAATGTTGGCTAATATATCAAGATTTACTCATATTCAAGAGATATTAGATTGGTTTTATACAAAAACAAACTAGTATGTTGTGTAAACCGACGTTCATGAACGCATCACATGTGACGTCATAGATCCATGACTCAAGATGCACCATTTGCCTCGTGCAGGATTAGCATTTAAAGTTTCAAAATCATGTGCAGGATATCGTCATAAGAATAAAGACATGTGGTAACACTAGACGGTTAGTTTTGTCATTAATTGGTACACATTATATGTTTCTATGGTTCTTGTTTCTATTGGCAGTGAGTATATTAACACATCACCCTACCAACCTGTGTTGTCGATTGGCAGGGCATCTAATTACAAAATTTAGTGAGATTTTGGAGTATTCATAGTCGGTCAAAGGCTATTGACGATTGTATTTTTATCGATCTCTTTCGTCACCTGTCACTGAATATAGAACCACGCAGCAATGACATTTACATTCATTGTCACAACTATGGTGAATTCAGCAATTGAAACTCAGCAAATACTTTCTACATTCTTATTGATCCAGCATTGTATTGTATTTATAAATAAACTTGAGGAAACCATCTCTAAACAGTTGTAGTATTCAGTAATCAGGAAATGTGTTACAGAATCTAGCGTGGATCCGATAGTTATGCATAGGCACACAGACTGCACCCGAACCATCAAATTATTAAATAAATGACAGCAAAACGTTTGAATATTATTTCTTTACATAAATTCACTTGAATCCACATTACTGATTGTTCTATTTGAATTCGTTGTAAAGTCAAACTACAATAAATTATTTAATTACTAAACTACACCATCGGCCTTAAAGATATAAGAACCAGCATTACCTTGAGTGCAACACTCTAGTGTTTACAGGTATTATCACATCTTGTGTGTTCCCTCTTGTTTTGTCTGATGACGAATCAAAGACAATCCGCTGTTGTTCTGATCCATCATTTGTCGACATTCCACCAGAGCCATAGTACGGAGACATCATGAGGCCAGCAGATGGATCATTGACTGATTTGTCTGACCAGTCACTGCTTTGACTTGTCTTATTACCTTCATCCCTGGTCTTGCTGTAACGAGGAAATGTTTCTTTATATACTGGCATGCCACCATAGCCACACGGCTGAGAGTTCATATGTCCAGCTGATGGAGCTGTTGACGTTTGGCTGGCCCACTCACTGCTTGGCAAACTGGTATCAACATCATCTGTGTTGCTGCATGTTTTGATCTGCAACGAGGTTTCTTCATAAATTGGCATTTTACCATCTCCATGATGCGGAGAGTTGACATGTGCAGGTGATGAATCACTGCTTGACAGACTCGTGTCAACACCATCTGTATTGTTGCGTGTCCGGATCTGCAGAGATGTTTCTTCATAAATTGGCATACGATGATCATCGTTATGCTCAGAATCCACATGCCCAGGTGATGGGGCACTGGCCACTGTGTTAGACCATTCACTGCTTTGGAGACCTTCATCAACGACCTGAGCATTTGGATGTGTATTTGCCCTGCAGATCAGTGGACCCTGCAGAGTTGATTCATCACTTATGGACACTCCACCACCATTACACCCTTGGGACTCTATACGATCAGCTGCAGGAACAATGGCAGTCTGGTTGGACCATTCACTGCTTTGGATACCATTAACGTTTTCGTCAGGATTGTTATGTATATACGTAACTTTCGGTGGACTATGTCGGCATAATTTGCTTTCTTGCTGGGCACTTTCCTCCTCCACAGGCACAAGCTGCGTGACAGTCGTGTCTGGACCATTGATCGCCTCATCTATCTCAATTAACGGTAGCTTTACTGAACCAAATGTATACCTGCCTTCACTGATGTACGCACGCTGAGTGTTCTCAAGGAAAGTTTCCTTGTGGTCAATATACAATATGGACATCTCGATGAAACTGGCAGTCAAATCTGATGGTAACCTTCCAAAGCTGATTTCTGGATTCCTATTTAAGTTTGACGGTTGTATGACACCTTCAGACACAGGAGAGGGAGCCTCATTTGCACTAAAGTCGTTCTTATTGATAATGATATTTGAGCTCGATCTGTATTGCTGTTGTAGTCTGGCTAATGGTGTTTCTTCTATGTATACCTGTTCACCAGCTGGTGATACTAAATGTTTAGTCGATGGAGCAATTGTACTGCTGATGACAGGGTATCCCTTTGTTGTTATGAGGTGCTCATGTGATAGGTCCCGAGGTATCGATTTATGGGTTATGTCAGTAGTAGTACATCTGCCATCTGTATGAAGCTGCTGGTTAATATCCCTCTCGTCTTCTTTCACCAAAGTTCTTGGGTAATCTTCTTCTCTTGGGGAAATATGTTGTATTTCTGTTTTTATCAAGTGGTGTACTGCCTCTGGGTATTTATGTGCTTCTCTATCTTGGACAATCGATGCAGGCGTTTCCGTACTCCTTAGTGCAACCCTGTCATCCGAAAAAGATACTCTCCTTTGTCCTTTGGTCTGGTTTCTATCTAACGATGCTATCCTCTCCAAGTGTTGTCCTCGATTGGCCTGTATTGTTGGCACTTGTTTGTGTCCTGGTAACTGCCTGTATTCAATTACTAGGTCATCGTCTGGCCTCTCAACAGCCAATTGTAGGTCACAGGGTCCCTGTATTTCCTTTTCTCTGTTCAGCTGTTCTTGGCAACCTGGATTTATCATTGCTTGTGAGTGTCCTTGAAAATGTATATCGTGTGGCGTCCCGTCTACTGTGACAGGTTGATCGTCGGGTCCTTGTACGGGCTTACTGGGTACCACGTTCCTAGATGTAGTTACAATATTTACTTTATCTATTGTTTTTTGTTTATTTTCTACATCAAGTGATCTGTCATCATCCACTCCTGTCATCTTTGCGTCATCTATTTTCTTGCAAACGGTCAACTCTACTATTGGCTTTTGCCTATATTGATTTCCTCGAGGTACTAAATTGGGTTCATGTATGTATTTATGTCCATTCATGGCAGGTCGTTCCGGCTGTTCTTGATTACCTGGATCTAATATTATCCGCCTTGGTCCTTGAACATATGTGTATTCATTCCGTGCATCCTGCGCCAGTATGTTGTCAGTGACTGCATGGTCAGGATGATCATATCGTTCTTGGACAGGCTCACTTCTGTCAACATTCCTAGACGTTACAACATTGTCTTCATGTACTTGGTTTTCTGCATCATGTGTTCTTTCGGTACCGAATGCTGCATCAATGGGCTCATGCATGAGCCTGTCAGGTCCCCCCACTACTCTGTCTGTTGGTTGATCTTGATTGTTCATCTTTACAACATTTCGTCCTGGTATATAGCTATGGCCACTTGGTAGATCAACTGATGGAATCTTGAAAAGTAATGCTTGATCAGTCGGTCGTGTTATTTGCTTGATAACTTGTGTACTTAATCTCTCTGGTACTTGTTGATGCTCAACGGGTGATAAAGTTTCTTGGGCAGGACTGTGTATATATCTGTACCTGACATCTTCATACACCACACCATTGTCATTGTATTCCTGAAAGCTTGGTTCAACTACTTCCTTTCCATCACTTAATGTTACTCTGCCAAGTTGATCTTCTTCATCAATCTGTTTAATTGTTATATCTCTCTCCCCAGGCAATTCTCTGTATCCGGTCACTGCATCATGTGGTGATCTGTCTTTACGTGTTGCTTCACTAACCTCCCCAGGCAGTTCTTTGTATCTGCTCACTGCATCATGTGTTGGCCTAAAGTCTTTCGGTCTTGCTTCACTAACCCCCCCAGGCAATTCTCTGTATCCGTCCACTGCTTCATGTGGTGATCTGATGTCTTTACGTGTTGCTTCACTAACCTCCCCAGGCAGTTCTTTGTATCTGCTCACTGCATCATGTGTTGGCCTAAAGTCTTTCGGTCTTGCTTCACTAACCACCCCAGGAAGTTCTTTGTATCTGCTCACTGCATCATGTGTTGGCCTAAAGTCTTTCGGTCTTGCTTCACTAACCACCCCAGGCAATTCTCTGTATCCGTCCACTGCTTCATGTGGTGATCTGATGTCTTTACATGTTGCTTCGGTCACCGCTGCAGGCAATTCTCTGTATCCGCTTACTGCTTCATGTGGTGGTCTGAAGTTTTTACGTGTTGCCTCGGTAAACTCTGCAGGCAATTCTCTGTATCCGCTCACTGCTTCATGTGGTGATCTGGTGTCTTTTAGTGTTGCTTCACTAACCACCCCAGGCAATTCTCTATATACACTCACTGCTTCATGTGGTGATCTGGTGTCTTTTAGTGTTGCTTCACTAACCACCCCAGGCAATTCTCTATATACACTCACTGCTTCATGTGGTGATCTGGTGTCTTTTAGTGTTGCTTCACTAACCTCCCCAGGCAATTCTCTGTAACTGCTCACTGCTTCATACGACGGCCTGATGCCTGTCAATGCTGCTTCACCATCCAATGGCACTTTGTATGAAGTCTTGGTAATCACATAGTCGGTTGGCCCATCATAAGACAATGCAGGCTTATTTGGTCCATCTTCTTGCTTCACAGGAGCTGCCATTGGCACAGTGTACCGCTGTCCTGCAGTCAGTGTCTCACCACCAGGCCTGTGTATTTGTTTGTGGAAACTTCCAGCATCACAAGTTGTTGTTCTTTCTGTAAATGCAATGTCACTCGGTCTGGATGGTTTCTTATCTCTCTCCAAATCAGCCCCGTAGGATCTGTCATCATCGGCCAATGTCACTTCGTCTGATCCATGTACCTGCCTGTGCTGATAAGGAGTTGTATGGTCAGTATAAGGAGTGGTCAGTCTTGTGCTGTGGAATTCCAGAACTGGCTTTCCTACATTTGCCTTCGGTCCATTTGCAGAAAATGTATTTGGTGTTTTCCTCTCTGGACTGAATGCTAACAACTTTTCCTCTTGTATTTGGCCATCTATTCCTGGTAATGTCCCATCTTGATATCGGCCCTGTGTTCCATGAGTCAGTTTAACCAACTTTGTTTCAATCCTATTGGGTGTCATGTTTCCATGAGTTCCATCTCCTCCATCACGTATCACATTATCAACCAAACAAACGCGACTCCCATCAGGTTCATCAGCCACATGAAGGCTACCAGTCCTGAAAACATTGCTAGGTACCCTTTTCTCAAGACTCGGATGTCTTACGAGAGGTCCACGCACACCGTACTTCCCGTGCAGTTGGTCCCTCCCTGGAAAACCTTGCCCACGACGTGTTACTGTCACCTGTCCGGGTCCATCTATCCGCCTGTACTCACTGACTCTTGTTTGTCCGGGGAGTCCGTCATTGTCAACAGCAGTTGCCTCCTTTACTACACTAGCTCCATGAGGCATACATACGTTTTCAGATCTTACTCTACTGTCTGTTTCCTGGTCCTTGCTCAGCGTCACTTCTGAGGGACCTTTAGTTACAACTGTTCTAGTCCATGCTTCCTTGTCTGATTGCTGCACTGGTATAGGGCCAGGATGGATGTCCTGTATAATTGTCAGAGCGCCACTGCCTTGTCTTCGTGTTTCTTTTGTGTTGGCTATATGCGGTTCATGTTCCAATGTCCATTGTTCAGAAGCTGATTTTGAAAATGCATTACCTCCATAGAACTGTTCCCTTGAATAGGAACTGAAATTCCTTCTATTCAGGGGACTCGGTTCGACGGCTGTCATTGCATCAGTCTTGGAATCAGTACTGAACTGCCGAACAATCATAGACCGCCCATGTGTGCTTTCACTGTCAGAGACATCAGACTCTGAGTCAATCGACATGGATATATCTCGATATAAAGCTCCACAAGACGTGCATGTTTCAGAATGCTGTCGTGTTAAGTGATGCCTTTGTGTCGTGTTGTCATCATCTCTAGGATATGACTCCTGCACCTTATCAACACTGGGTGCATCCTGATAAGAATGACTTGGCCCTGTGGAACCATCCTGAAGGATTTTATTCCCTGCTCTGTGGGAAGCGTAGACCGATGGCGCACCTGCATAGGACTTTTCAAAAACAGTTTGTCTAACCCCGGTACCATCAGGTTGTATCCACACCAACTGATAGGTGTTGTACTCCGGTTCGCCACTCCCTTCCACAAGTAATGTGTCCTCTTCAGTATTCTCCATTGTAATTCAGTTGAGGTCGTTGATGTCTTAATCCATTGAGCTTGGAGGTGACAGATGGCTGTACTGTGGCTCGTGTGGTTTGAAATATGACTGACCGTTCACCTGCCTTGCTTTCATATAGAAACTCTTAAGGTGACGAACCCTAGTTATTGGAGATCAGTGAACTTTGAACTATGATTCACAGACAGTTACTATCATGACAATGTCATGTTTCCTAATCTTCAACACGCCACGTGTTTGTGGGTAAACTGCCCTTTAAACTTTGTTGTGAACACTTGACAGGATTACGTGCAGTTTGATATGTGGAATAATTGATTATCAATTATGTATGTGAAAACTAGCGAATCCATATCCACTCCCTGTGACAATATAAGGTTATGGTTTGTTAGCCATGATGGACTTGACCTGACCACTGCATTGTCCAGAGATATATCTTCTATGTCAGTACTAATATGTCGACATTAACTTGATTTTATTGACAGATCGTGAGGCTCCCAAACAATGAACGTCATTCAATATCTTTGGACGTGTATTTGACTGATGCGTCCCGTTATGTTGAAGATGGTACTTTTATCACCACTACGTGCCAGGGACTGTTTCGAAGTTTGCAACATATGCCATTCTAGCGCTTGTGACATCGACGTCCCCATAATAATAGTGCCTAGCGTGATCTATGTATATCTATTCACAATACCATTTGTAGGACATCACATAGTTACATTTCGATCAAATATGAGATTACATACAAAACCAGAATGGTGCTATATGAACGATTAGTTGGGTTTACCGTAAACATGAAAAGTATTCAGTTTTTCACTACCTGTTATCTTATTGCTTAAAGTTCAAAGTAACACACGTTCCAGCATTTACCACTTAGGTGAATACAACGAGCACAAAGATAGTGCTCACAAACCAAGGATCAGAAACAGGGCGAATCTAGGGTTAGAACCTGCGATCAGCAGATCCTGGCACTGCTAAGGGGGCGCACAGCGAACTGCAAAGACTAGGCCATCTATGCTCCCACATGGCCTCTGATATTCAGATATTGCAATATCTAGGTAATAGCATGTATTGTTTATGAATAGTGAATAATGGTATTGAGCAAAACTATGATTCATTTTGTATTTAGCGTTGGCTCGTCACGCCGAAGACCCGGGTTCGATTCCCGACATGGGTACAATGTGTGAAGCCCATTTCTTGTGTCCCCCGCCGTGATATTGCTGGAATATTGCTAAAAGCGGCGTAAAACCATACTCACTCACTCACTCATTTTGTATTTACGTCTAAAGAAGATGTGTTACAGATGCTTTACAGATCCGATAAACTTCTATAGTTGTGTTCAGTTTTCCAACAATACGTTAAGAAGATGATAGTGTGTGGTGGATGAATTGTTGATCTTTCGTCAAAAAGAGAAAAATGAATATATTGATTAATAGTTTTAAAATTCGCTAAATGTTACTATTTATATAATTGGGTGGGACGAGTTTATCGTCGCTTTGAACAGTGAGTGAGTGAGTTGGTTTGAATGCCACTTTAACAGTATTCCAGTTATATCACAACGTGTAAGCTTAATGTGGGAGGAAAGTCCGAAGTGATGCACTTTGGTGAAATCCACTAATCGGGGCGAACCGTGTTTCGAACCCACAAACATGGGTTACTGGCGTAGCCTACCCAAGGGATCCAAATCTTCACAGCGAATTGCGGCGCCATAGACATACCGTTTCGCCGCTTTGAACAGTAAGTTAGTTATTACATGATGTATTGGTTCAATGTTGAAAGCCTAAAGTGAACAAATCGAAGACGTTTATTATGACTGGGGATCATTATAGCGAAAAGGGGTACAGTGATACAGTGGTGTAACAGAGTTACTTCCCCTTGTCTCCATGATCACCTGAGACAAAAACCATTTAAGGCGGCAAACGCTGTTCACTAACTCAAGGTTCACTAACAAAAGAAGGCTAAACTTTAAACGGGAGATCTAAACAACTAAGGGACGCAACTCTGTAGAAACAGTGGACCTAAACAGCTAAGGGACGCAACTCCGTACATTGCCTAAGAGGACTGGAACATCCTTGCTCCTGGTCTGTATGTCAATCTGAAACGTCACTGCCCAAGAATTTTCACCATGTTGTCTGCCGAAACAGTGAGTGTGTATGTATAGTTGTATGGGGCTATTAGCAATATTCCAGTCATACCACGGCGGGTGACACAAAAAATCAATGGTCCACACATTACACACCCATGTGGGGAATCGAACACACACCTTCGGCGTGACGAACGACCGTTTGAACTACTAGGCTACCCCACCGCTCCTGTCGAAACAGATGCCATTGGGCGTAAAGGGAAAAAAGTGATGAAAATCAAATGATGGGATCACTGAAAATCAGTGATGACACCAGGTGTTAGAGAAAGGGGTAATCTTGTCCACGACAATACATCATCTAGTTGTAAAGACCACATACAGAATTTAGTTGAGTTTAACATTTAACATTGCGTCAAATGAATAACAGAGCAAATTAATATTTTCCTCCTTTGAGGTTAAATATATTTTTTCGGTGTTTTACACTGTATTGATTCGTGGTCAAGCTGATAGCGTCATACATTTTTTTATACTTTAGTTTATCATTTTTTGGTACGGACGTTTTTGTCTGAACAATCGCAGTTCAGGTTTGCAATTTGATATCATACCGCGTTCACATGTCATCATTTACTTATGTGGAGAACCGAACCCGGGCCTTCGGCTACCCCACCGACCAAGAGCTTCCTGAAGGCGTGCCAGAATCATGTGACCCTGAGAATAAATCTCCGACTTCCCCAGACTATAAATTATCAGCCCCTAACCCGTGCTCGTGGGTTTCCCGAAATGGATAAACGTCTTACTGTCATTCCTCACTCATGAAGCCGACACACTCTGACACAACCAAAATTCTGTTCAAAGCAGAACTCAACTCACACACTCACTCCTATTATTTTGACTACCAAATCAGTTTTGTGTTTATCATGAAATCCTCTCATGTCTTACTGACGTTGAAGACATGTGAGACAATAAACACCATCATCAAACCACACACGACTCATAATCTGTCTATTGCTGAAAACCCAGTTCCTGAAACAATTGCAGTAACAATCCATGGATAAAAATAAACACAGGTAGCTTTAACACTAATACATGGCACCACTTCTGTATAGCAGTCACATAACAAACTTGTACACATCGGTCCTTCCCACCTAGAGGCATAACATAATGTACATTCATGGACATATGCTTAAACTACGATATCCAACTTATGACACATGTCTACTGCATAATCAAGCATGTCATCACCCAAATCCTTATATATGTATAATACATTTAAGCTTAACTGAGATAGGGACAACATGAGAACATACCTGTACTAGATCTCTATGTCAGTCTTGGAATGACTGTGTCCGCCATAGCTTCATCCTGAGTCTCCGAGAGCGGCGACAGGTCGGGGTATTGATATACGGACAAAGGGCACAGAAGTGATAAACATCTTGTCCTGTAGGTGGGATGACACATGGCATCGTTGACAGGTGGGGGCCCCATAACAGTCGACATGAAGACGAAAGTGATTTGTTTTGTTGCGCCAATGGGCGTTTCTACTTCTCGCGTTCTTAATGGAAAGCTATATAAACCAAAGGGTGTTTTTCTTGTAATGTAAACAATATTGATATTAAGTGTTGGACTGCATAACATCGTTATGGTAAGCAGTTGTGAGGGAGTAGTGTTTTCTGTGAGGACAATCGTGTCATGACGTCATGAAAACTGTATTATGGACAAGGTGTCTGCATCACGTCAACAGTGACGTCATGAGAACTGTATTATAGCCAAGGTGTCTGCATCACGTCAACAGTGACGTCATGAGAACTGTTTTATGGACAAGGTGTCTGCATCACGTCAACAGTGACGTCATGAGAACTGTATTATGGACAAGGTGTCTGCATCACGTCAACAGTGACGTCATTAGAACTGTATTATGGACAAGGTGTCTGCATCACGTCAACAGTGACGTCATTAGAACTGTATAATGGATGAGATGTCTGCATCACGTCAACAGTGACGTCATGAAAACTGTATTATGGACAAGGTGTCTGCATCACGTCAACAGTGACGTCATTAGAACTGTATAATGGATGAGGTGTCTGCATCACGTCAACAGTGACGTCATGAGATCTGTATTATGGACAAGGTGTCTGCATCACGTCAACAGTGACGTCATGAGAACTGTATTATGTACAAGGTGTCTGCATCACGTCAACAGTGACGTCATGAGAACTGTATTATGTACAAGGTGTCTGCATCACGTCAACAATGACGTCATAAGAACTGTATTATGGACAAGGTGTCTGCATCACGTCAACAGTGACGTCATGAGAACTGTATTATGGACAAGGTGTCTGCATCACGTCAACAGTGACATCGTTAGAACTGTATTATGGACAAGGTGTCTGCATAACGTCACAACAGATTTGTAGGAGGTGAAATCGTTATTGCAGATATGATTGGTGTTCACGAACAGACTTATATTGAAACGTATGGGTGAAGGTGTCAGAATATTTAATATGGAGAAAGCTACCTGTGGGAAATATGCCGGGTGTGTACAGTGAAGCATTACCCCAGTCAGGATTACCAATGCTAGAGATGCAGTACATTTAACCCTGAAAAGCGTCCTTGGCCCCTTTGCACAAAGCGATCGTAGCGCTAAGGTGATCGTGACTCCCATACTTTCACATTAGCTTATGGGTAGTCGTAAAGCTAAGATCGCTTTGTGCAACGGGGCAATGGGTTGTATAGACCTATGCCATTGATCTTAGGGTAGGCAGTGGGTGTGGGATTTTTTAGTGTCAGTGACAGCTTTAAATTGTTGGTGAGTGTTTGTTTGAAACACGTTGTAGGCGTCCCAGTTGAGTGGCTAAAGTCTAGTATGATCGTGATTTCGAGGCCGGCCGTGATTCGCCAAAATTGTGATTCTACCATGACACAGAAGTTTAGTTCATTCTGAATGGTCAAAATGAGGTATCTTATTCCATTCGATACCTCAAAATTTAAATTCGTTTTCAACAAAATTCTTGCGTTTGAAGACAACGATCTATCGATAGTCTAGCTATCGATGCATATGACAATGGTTGCCGATAACCCATTAGGATTGTATACGTTCGATATCAGAGCAACAGTTTATCGAACATAAAGCGCTCTATTTTATCGAACATAAAGCGCTCTATTCCACATTAACATGAGAGTTATCGAATCTACAGTGAGCCAGCCTCAAATACTACCCAGGGCGGTGGGGTAGCCTAGTGGTTAAAGTGTTCGCTCGCCATGCCGAAGACCCGCGTTCGATTCCCCACATGTGTACAGTGTGTGAACCTCATTTCTGGTGTCCTCCACCGTGATATTGATGTAATATTGCTAAAAGCGGCGTAAAAACATCCTCACTCATTCAGATAGTACCCCGTTGTATCGTAAATGTGTTAATCGTTGTAGGAGACCCATACTTGCCGTACAAAAATGCGACTATGCTTTTGGTAAGAGGCGACTAACAGGATCGGGTGATCAGGCTCGCTGACTTGGTTGATGCATGTCATCGTATTCCAATTGTGTGGATCGATGCTAATGATGTCTATCACTGGATTTTCTGGTCGATTATTTACAGACCGCCGAAATATAGATGGAGTTCGCGGTCACACAACAAACAAACACTACACATAGAGTAATAGGTATAAAATAATATTTTAAAAACTTATCTTGAGTGTGCACAATGTGACAGGTCCATGTACGTACAACAGTGAAATCACTCTGTAAATTATGCATGTTGCATTCAATGTGTAAAATATATCAGTCATTGTCTAAAATGACTGATATTTTTCGCTAAGGAAATTTACAAAACGCCAACATATTTCAGTCATTTAACAAGTATTTTTCTGCCATGTTTGCTAAAAGTTATTGAAAAGTTCAAAAGGGCTTAAACAAATCACAAAGAATAATTATGCTAGGGTTAGAAGCCATACATATTTATTTTCCTTTTCTTTAAATCCTATTTTTTTAGCCACTGGGTGATGAAACTGAACATAAAAAAGTTTGGAATTCGTTATCGTAATATAATAAATGGAAAAACAAATTGTAAATGTGACTGTAATATTTGAGCGTTTAGCAAATTGGCTGGTGTAAACGTTCAGTCATTTCACACATTGACTGATGTTACACATTGACTGTAACTTGTACATATGTAACACGTGTACAACACGCAGTGACAGTTTGAAAGAAATAACATATGACACCAAAGTGGACCACAGTTCACATTGTATTACATGTATAACAACAGAGGTCGACAATGGACATATCAATGAGGTAGATAAGGTTTGAAGCTTATTCAGTATTCATATTAACCTTACAATTTGTGCGGTACAGTACACGCACACAATGGGGCATTATGCACAAGTTGTAATGTCTAGATCAATTGACTCAATACTTGTTTTGTGTGATCAATATGAAATAGAGTCCCTGAGTCCAATTAAAATATGCGCAGATTTGAAGGGTCTGTACCATGCAAAGAATAGGAAGACATCGTATTAAAAATGGTTCAAGACGTTTATGACAACACCACAAACAAATTCATATTACATTGGGATTCCTGGATAGTTTTTGTCATCAAAAGATATGCAGTGTTTAATAGAAAAATTGAAAAAGAAAATCATGTAGTGAAGATGGCTAACGGGATGAGGGATGGATGTATAAATATCCATAATGTGGAAAAAAAAGGGAGTTAATAAAATCCAAAAGTATATAAAGATCTTATAACGGTATTGTTTCGTACTGTTGATACTACGACTCGTATGACGTGTAATGGCGTCAAAGTATAATGGCTAATATTTTGATGATGTCTTGTCCATACAAGTCTATTTCTCGGTCACTGCAATTTATCATAAATTGTTTAGAGCAAAGTGAGTGAGTGAGTGAGTTGGGTTTACGCCGCTTTTAACAATATTCCAGTTTTATCGCGGCGTGTCAGCTTAATGTGGGAGGAAAGCCCGAAGTGATGCAGATCTCAGACGTTTACCACTTCGGTGAAACCCACGAGCACGGGTATGCTTCTGACAAACCTAGAAACATAATCGGGGCCAACTGGGATTCGAACCCACAATCATAGGTTTCTGGCGTGCCTAAGGGATGCAAATCACAGCGAATCGCGGCGCCTTAGACGACTTGGCCACCCGTGCCCCCGTTTAGAGCAAAAACATATATTCGTGTGTGTGTGGTATCACTTCCACAAAAAACCCGCACGTAATGATCTTCATCAATACTCATATTTGGCTTGGCTAGTCAGGCTGGTCGGTTGGCTGGACAGACATGGTGACGTCATAGGATTGTGACGAAACTTGCTTGCCACTCTCTTCGCACTTTTAGTCTTGGTTACTTATGAATTCGTAATGTTAAATCGTGACATTCGGAATATACTGAATTATCGAGTTGGACGTTCGTCCACACGCCTCCGCCTCTTGGTCCACCACGCTACTGACACTGAAGAGATGCCACAAAAGAGTTATATGATAATTATTCAGGGAAAAACACATAAACACTTTCAGACACAACCGATGTCCCATACGGACTATATATGTATGCCCACTCGGGATCCAGTTGGAGCGAGACCGCCGCCGTGGTAGACCGTCCTGTTCGGAGTGCGGAAGGTCCGGGATTCGATCCCCAGCCGCGTCATACCAAAAGACGTTAAAAGATGGTACTTGTTGTTACCCTGTCTGGCGCTCGACATTAAGGGGCTAAAACAAGGACTGGTCGGCTCGGAGTCAGTATACTGTGTCTGAGTGGGGTATTCATGTTAAACTGCGCATGGTATCTCAGTTAGCTAGCACTATAAATCGGCATCAGTCCGGACTAGTACAAGCAGCAACATACACACACGTGCATGCACGTCGCTATATAAGCGCAATAATCTTGGACGTGACGTTAAACCCCATTTCACCTCACCCCACATCCAGTTGGAGCTTATGGACAAACCCGATGGGGCCACAGGGTCTTCCTATTCAGGACCTATTTCCCCGCCCACATTGACCCCAAGTGGGACACAACTGAGGTTTTTGCGTTTTTGTGACGCAGTGTGAAGGGTCTGGCTGTATTAGTGTAATTTCGAACCACAACTATCAACCTTTATGTATCAACTCACAATCAATAACATTTTACTGAGTAGGTATGAGGTAGGTATCTCCACGGTCGACCTGGTTGGCCGGTTATTGACAAGTTAGGCTGAAGGTAGTGGCACAACAGCTGGCGTGTACTGGTTGAAGACAGTCGCCCACATAGCATGTACCACCTCATAACTCGGCATTCGATGAAATCATTAAACATTAACACATTCAGGGGCTGTTAATATTTCAGATAACCCATTCATCAATACATGGCTTTATAAATCCATGCATCGTAAAGAATGGCGGTGAATGAGGGTTGAATAATAGACTGAATTTCATTGCCTGTACGTTAAATGTCATGACAATGGAAAAAGGACGATAACTCATTGTGGCGTTTATGAGATAAGCCTATGTGAAGATGATATTGCATCGGATCAGTCTACATCATAAAGTGAGATTTAAGACTACACATTTGAAGCCACATCACTTTCGCTGGATGGTGTGTGGAATTGGAAAGGTAAATGCTATTTCTTGTTCTTTATGTTTAGCTAAACACATTTGTACAATGTTTTAAGTGTCGTCGACAGTTGAAACCAAATGACTCATTTACACTGGGATCCAACGGGTTTGTCGTGTAACACGGTGGTGTGGTTTCGTACAGGTGTGGCTTACAAATGACCACGCGCGTGCTCATGGTCAGGTTATATTGTCAATGTCCTGAATGCCCAGAAACAGAAACAAGAGCCTTTTGTTTCCTTCGTCCCGTGCATCTGACATCAATATACATGTATATGTACTTTATAGTTATGTGAAATAATATGTACTTTCTGGGATGTGTCCCGTCAATAGTAGAGAGATTAAGAATTTGAGCTGTGTCAACCTAGAAATCAACCGTATCATCCTTTTACATTGTGTGTTTGTTGCTTAAAACCGCTCTAAGCAATATTCGAGCTATATGATGGCGGTTCGTAAATATTCGAATGTGGCCCAGAAAATCGAATATTTTGTACAGATAATAATATAAAAGTGATTCAATATTATTGTCGGTATAGCTTAATAATAATCTATAATAATAAACGGGATAACCGGTTTCGATTATCCACTCTAACAGATTCCATTGGACGTAAAAGACAAAATAAAGGTGAAAATAATATGAATGGATCACTGAAAATCCTTGATGACACCAGGTGTTCGCCAAAAGGGAAATCATGCCCTACCCCATCAGTAGAAGTGAGTGAGTGAGTTAGTATGGTTTTACGCCGCTTTTAGCAATATTACAGCAATATCACGGCGGGGGACACCAAAAATGGGCTTCACACATTGTACCCATGTCGGGAATCGAACCCGGGTCTTCCGCGTGACGAGCGAACGCTTTAACCACTAGGCTACCCGACCGCCCCTCCCATAAGTAAAAACAAATCTTTGGCAGGTGTCATTTCAACGAGTGGACATCCAGTTTTAAAGCTTATTTTCTTTAATTGATTGATCTTAACAGTCATGATGTATATTATAACACACTGGAAATAGTTATTCCTCATAACCCTTAAAATAATTTGGGTTCATAAATGTAATTTAGCTGGTGTCTTCACTATAATCAAGCTTCAGTTTCCCAAGCCCATAATCGTTCACACCCTAACACATACACTGTGTTTGTTTGTTGTTTACCGCCGCACCCAGCAATATACGAACCATATGGCGACGGCCTAAACCGAATCTGGGCCTGACACGCCAGTGACTGACATTATTAGCAACATCACGATCCGTCGACTGGTTACGATGACACGCAATCAGCCAGGTCGCCGATTTTGACCAACCGTTCCATTTAGTCGTCTCTTACGCCAAGCAAAGTTTTCGGTGGACCTTTTCTAACCCGTAATGCCTAGGGAAAACATATTGCGTGACAGATATGTAATTGCATTATAACCCTTACTGAACTGTAATAGTCTGTCGTTCTATCATATCAGTATAAAGTGTGTTTTTCTTGTTATCGTAGGATTAAGTCAATACTTACAATCAAAGATGTATAAACATTGTTAACTACTACTCTGTAAACATTGCGTAACTGATAATGTTTGTTTGTTTGTTGTTTAACGCCGCATTCAGCAATATTCCAGCCATATGACGGTCGTCTGTAAAGTATGGAGTATGGACCAAACAATCCAGGGATTGACATCATGAGCATCGATCTCACGCAATTGGGATGCGATGATACGCATCAACCAAGTCAGCGAGCCTGACTACCCGATCCCGTTAGTCGCCTCAAACGACAAGCATGGCTTGCTGAAGATCAATTCTAACCCGGAATCATCACGGGACGATAATGTTTAGTAATCCATTCACTGTTATACATACGTACAAAGAAATGTTAAACAGAAATTGGTATTTTCGACTTCATGGATAGGTAGTACCTATTTTCGGTACAAATTCTGTGATACGTTTCTGTAAACACTATTACTCATTTACCAAATATAGCAGATCAGTTTAAGTGTTTGAATCCCATGTGTGACACCTCTAACTTGTATATTTTATCAAATTTAACCCATTATAAACCATACATGCATTTGACATATTTCTTCAGATGGGAAAATCAACCTAATCCCTGACCACTTCCATCAACACCATGAATCACTTGTACTGCACTGGGTGCCAAGACCATTTTGGAATTGACAGGAAGGTACCCAGGGTGCTGCCGTGTCTGCATGGAATCTGCGATAGGTGTGAGGGAACATCTGGGCAGAGTGTAGACTGCGGCAAATGTAACCGAAAACGGTTTCAAAGGAACACTATCAAGGATGATCCTGTTCGTAAGAATGAGTTGATGGTCACCTTGGCACGGAGATGTCCAGACCGACTGTTGTGTACAAACAAGAATGATGGCAAACTGGCCTCAATCTTCTGCTTGGAGTGCCTGCATCTTCTCTGTGAGGATTGTCAGATGGCGCACAGTAAAGTGCAGACAACCACCAAACACAAATGTCTGTCCATCCGCGACCTCGGAAGAGTTGCAGTGTCAGATTGGAACACAAAACTCCGCTGCGGAAAGCACCCTGATTACCCACTGTTGTTCTTTTGCCAAGACCAGTTGGTATGTCTCTACTGTGTGAGGAGAGGCCAGCAGCAGCACTCTTTGGAAGATATTGAAGATGCTTTTGGAAAGGAGAGAAGCAACCTTCAAATACTTTCCGAGCGGCTCGCTAGACGAATTGCACAGACACAACGATATGGCCCTTATGCTACCTCTAACCAGAATCCGAAAAGGGAAATTAGGGATGCATTTGCAAAGTTGAGAGCTGCAGTGAGGAGCCGACAGATCGAAATTTCGGATTTTCTTCTCAAGAAAAGGGGTCGGAAAGGAGAAATAACCTTCAAATCGGATATTCCTCGAAATCTTCCAGATGGTGACCTGAACCTGTTGCACTATCAGATCCTGAAGAATGGTCACCTCACCAGTGGCACTGGAAAGCTCCTGTTCCTTTCTCCCAACATCCAGGATCTCATGAACAAGCTGTGGTACTTTGGACGTGTTATAGACATCAAGTCTGGCAAAGACGTCAATAGTCCCTATGCAGGTAGGAATATGAAGCCAATATGTGGCGAAATGCATCGAAATTATGATCAGATACCACCAGCAAAGTCTCCATACCCTGATCCGAGAATGACAGATGGCCAAGGACGCGGGAGAAACAGGGACAGAAATCAGGGCTCTGATCCATCCATAAATCCCCACTACGTTGAACCTACGATACAAGGAGGAATGAAAAGGAATGACCCGCGTCTGAGAGAAAATGATCCCTATGGTCCAGCTGGGCCTCAAAGCACGGAAGGCAGACAAAGGCGTCTATCATACAGAGATGAACCATTTGTTGAAAACCCCTATTATTCGGAACCTCTGATGAACGATAGCTGGGGGCCACAGTCCATGTCACCAGGTTGTGGAAGCAGGGATTCGCTCCCTACCAGTTCAGCTTACAGAGACGACACAATAATGCCCCGGACACAAAGCCCACAGTACTCGGAAGCACCAATAAGTGGTAGCCGTGATAGAGCACCAATGTCATTGAGGGATGAGGGTTGTGATGCAGTGCCTGTCAGTCCACCTTACAAAGAGGAATCAATCCCTTCCAGGTCACCTTACAGAGATGAGACAATAGTGCCCCAGACACAAACGCCACAGTTCTCGGAAGCACCAGCAAGTCGTAGCAGTGATGGAGCACCATTGTCTTTGAGGGATGGAACTCGTGATGAAGTGCCTGTCAAGCCACCTTACAAAGAGGAACCAATCCCTTCCAGGTCACCTTACAGAGATGAGACAATAGTGCCCCAGACACAAAGGCCACAGTACTCGGAAGCACCAGCAAGTGGTAGCAGTGATGGAGCACCACTGTCTTTGAGGGATGGCACTCGTGATGCAGTGCCTGTCAAGCCACCTTACAAAGAGGAACCAATAGTTCCTCTGACACAGGAGTCCCAGCACTCTCAACCACCGATGAATGACAACAGAGGTTCAACACCCCCAGACACAAACCTCCAAACTCCCCCTCAGAGTCTCTCCGGACAGTCTCCTACCCTGAGCCCTGATGAGAAAGAGAACATGTATCCAGACACGCGTCCTGGCAACGTCCCCTCCGAAGAAGGCCCACACGACACAACAAGACCTTTCAGCCCTGTACCATATAATGAAAGACCCCTGGAGTATCAATTCCCTTGGCATGTACTACCACGAGACCCATCTATGCCTCAGCTACACAAAGGACACCAAGGAAAACCAAGAGACCCCACTTTAGACCCCACTAAACAAATCCCAACAGTAGCTCCAGAGAACAGAGAGCAACCAGTGAAGGACGAGGTCAATGCACCATCCCAATCAGAGCCAATACCAGACCAACCTGACAACACAGCACAGCCTCCGGTTGAAGACACGACAAACCCTGATAAAGATGTTCCTAAAGATGAACCAATGGCTGGAACCAAGCCTGATGAAGATACCCGCAAAGACGAACCCTTGGCTACAAACAGGCCTGACATAGATACTCCTAAAGAGGAACCTTCAGACAACAACAAAATCACAACAGTGGTGATGTTGATCAACATGGTGACTGGCACTTGTACAGAAATCGGGAGAATTCAGGTGCTAGATGACAAGCTTGTACCAATAGATGTTTCTCCAGGCGACATTATCGGTCATCTGGAGTCTCCCTCAGGTGATGTTCAAGAGTTAGAAATTATCCCTTCTCAGTACAATGGCGTCCTGTCAAGAATAATATGTTCCTCAGAGGATAGAGGTATTTATAATCTTCCTATTGACTTCAAGGGACAGCGACTACCTGGAGGTATGCAACTTGAGGCTTGTGGTCTGATTGGTAAGTAATAATTATTAGATTGTGCCGTTAGAGTATTTACCAAACTTTTCTGTAGTTTGAAACACCACAGTGTGCTGTTACACCGCATGTTGGACATCAAGTAAATAAAACATATGGGTAAAAACAGTGGTTGACATTATTAGCAACATCCCAGGTCGTCAAGGTACAATGAGTCTTACCGATCCAAACTTCAGTCTAGGCAAGGTCCCCATGGACGATTATTAGGTTTTACTGATTTTTGCATCAGTAAAATATGGTAGAATGATTTGCGCACATACAAATGTGTTGCAAGAAAGCCTGCTATTGTTTGGGATCATGAGGATAAGGCTATTAATTGGGAAAATGAGGATGAGGCTATTGATTGATTGGGATCATGAGGATGAGGCTTTTAAATGGGGTCATGAGGATGAGGCTATTGATTGATTGGGGTCACCAGGATGAGGCTTTGGATTGATTGGGATCATGAGGATGAGGCTTTTGATTGATTGGGATAATGAGGATGGGGTTATTGATTGATTGTGATCATGAGGATGAGGCTTTTGATTGATTGTGATCATGAGGATGAGGCTATTGATTGATTGGGATCATGAGGATGAGGCTTTTGATTGATTGGGATCATGAGGATGGGGCTATTGCTTGATTGGGATCATGAGGATGAGGCTTTTGATTGGGGTCATGAGGATGAGGCTATTGATTGGGATCGTGAGAACAAAGCTATTGATTGATTGGGATCATGAGGTTGAGGCTTTTGATTGATTGGGATCATGAGGATGAGGCTTTTGATTGGGGTCATGAGGATGAGGCTATTGATTGATTGGGATCATGAGGTTGAGGCTTTTGATTGATTGGGATCATGAGGATGAGGCTTTTGATTGGGGTCATGAGGATGAGGCTATTGATTGATTGGGATCATGAGGTTGAGGCTTTTGACTGGGGTCATGAGTATGGCGATGATGATGATTAGGATTCATAACCATTTGTTTAAATATTCCACCATCATTTTCTATTCCAGATGTTTCCCGAGACGCAGTTATATTTGTCACTGAGATGACAGACATGAAGATCACACACGACTATATAGTTCTATGTGAGTAACAATATCCACGTAACTCTACCTTAGTATCTCTACATGCCTAAGATGTCTCTGAAACGCGTTATTTCAGATAGAAGTGAAACAGAAACTTTTCTTAACTACAGTATCAAACAGTCGTATCATCTAATGGTAATGTTCTGCTTCAGGTCCCAACATGGACGATGCTGTTGACCGTCAGTTCAGCGACAGCGACACCGCCAACATGTCAGCCCTTGCCCAGTCCGCCAGGGACATGGGAGTCCGCAACTACAGAGGATCAGTCTCGGGCTTCCCCATAGACTTTGAAGGTTTCGCCTACATGGAGATATGGATAGAAGCCGTCTTGAGGAGGAAAGCTGAGGCCAGGACGATCGTGTTTGAAGTCGGATTGGCTTCGCGGGCGGTTATTGACGCGACTCACATCATGGAGGGGCAGGTTCAGGCCTGGGGAATATCCATCTCGTATAGTCCAGAGCTGAAGACCCTTAGCAAGAGTGTGTGGGGAGGTGGGGAAATCTTCGATCACAGTCCTGTAAAGGGACACAAGATTGCACAAACGATGTCCTTCAAGTTTGGTATCCTCTTGAACAGTCAGCTTCACAGGCTTGTGATCTTTGACCTTGAGCGTGACGACTCGTTCTCTGTCGTCCCTAGAGTTGATTTTGGAATGTTTCTGCTTCCGGTCTGGGGTGCTTGTAACTATGGCAACGCTGATGTAAGCATAAACTGTATTTCCGGCGATGTCTTGCAGCTGGGAAGACTTGATACTCGACTCTTCCTGAAGGCGATGAAGATGTCGATGTCAGATGAAGTGATGTGATGTGATGTGGTGTGATTAACTCGCCTGTACTCTGTTCACTATTAGTCGGATTTAAAGCAGCGATTGTAGATGGGTGACGTTCATTTGCAACTAAAGTTATATTTAATATTTTCGTAGGTCTTGTACGTTTTGTCAGTTAATTTAATAATAGATTAGCCACAACGGTCATTGATGGGGAAAATATTTTGGAAGTCGCGGATTCGAATTTGTAGAAATGAAGATTTATTTTTATTCCATTTTGGGATTAGAACTAGTTTAACTGAAGATTCCATTCTGTTACTACAATAACAATAACATTTTAATAGCTTATCCCACCTACATAGAGTATAATAGTGACCAATTGATCAGAGGAATGAATACAAAATGACGACTTTGTCATGTTATGTGAGACGTTTTCGTATGTTATGGGGGCGGTCGGGTAGCCCAGTGGTTAAAGCGTTAGCTCGTCACGCCGAAGACCCAGGTTCGATTCCCGACATGTGTGAAGCCCATTGCTGGTGTCCCCCGTCGTTATATTGCTGGAATATTCCTAAAAGCGGCGTAAAACCATACTCACTCACTCACTCACTCACTCGTATGTTATGTTTCACGCTCGGTGATAAGTAACCAGATATTTGTGTTGCTATATATGTGTTGAGAATATTGTGGGCATGTCTCCATGGGGAATACCATACGATGAACACCTCATCTGAAAGGGTCGTAGGTACTTTTTCTTTGAAGGGTTCCACTTTAGTGAGAGGAAATTTTGTTGTTTTCAAATAGTAGGTGTTGTCAAACATTAGTAGTTGGCAATATTTAGTTCAGTTTATGTAATAATATCATGAAACATGTAGTTTATTTGCATTGTCTGCATTACTGGAGATGTTACATTTATTTTAAAGTGTCGACTCTGATTCTGTTTAAATAAAGGTTGTAGAAAACAGAAGAATGCTTATGTTAAAAATATATGATATGTGAAACATGGTAACACAACTGAAATACATATCAAGGCGGAGTAAAACTCAACTCATTAACTCACTCATGTCAGCCTTCTCCACCCGCGTCAACGTGGGCCCGGGTGAGGTTAGGACAAAGACTAAACTCACACAAATATGAGAGGGGCGGTCGGGTAGCCTACTGGTTAAAGTGTTCGCTCGTCACGCCAAAAACCCGAGTTCGATTCCCCATTACAATGTGTGAAGACCATTTCTGGTGTCCCCCGCCGTGATATTGCTAGGATAGTGCTAAAAGCGGCGTAAAACCATACTCACTTACTCACACAAATATGAACTAGAAATGAAGAAATACCACTAAACCCTTATTAAAATCGTTTATTTGACATGACACATGGTCATTTTATGTTTAAACGGATTCTCATTTTCTAATGTACAATTTTAATGTGGATAAGTTAGCAAATACACTGCATGGATAGCATCGAGAAACAAATATATAAATGGTCGGTTTACCATCGAAATTTGTTGTGTGACTGAGTGAGGTTGGTTTTATGCCTCTTATTAACATTCCGGCACTTTCCGGGGTACACCAGGGCGTCGTTGTACAAAGCGATCTTAGTGCTAAGGTGATCGTAACCCCCATGCATTAACATAGACTTACGACCGTCTTAGGTTGTTTTGTACAACGGCAGCCAGGGCCCCGTTCCACAAAGCTATCTTAGCGCTAAGACTACCGTAAGTCTATGTTAAAGTATGGGAGTTACGATCGTCTTAGCGCTAAGACTACCGTAAGTCTATGTTAAAGTATCGGAGTTACGATCGTCTTAGCGCTAAGTCTACCGTAAGTCTATGTTAAAGTATGGGAGTTAAGATCGTCTTAGCGCTAAGACTACCGTAAGTCTATGTTAAAGTATGGGAGTTAAGATCGTCTTAGCGCTACAATTGCTTTGTGGAACGGGGCCAAGGAACGGGCTCCGCACATTTTCCCCATGTATCTAGCGTCCACACCGGGACAACCCTATTGTCTTACATATCACCATGCTCGGGTGAATTTGTACCCATAGCAATAGGAATACCCCTAATAAACCACCAGGCAGACTGGGCGCCGGCCGATCGTTGAAATTGCCCAGCGCGTCAAGCAGCGGGAACCCGTTTTAACCTCCAGGAAGCGGGACATTTTTCGTTTTAGGGACGATTTCGCGTGTCATTTTTATCGTCCTTTTTACACTATTCCCGATTTTCACATTGAATTTGGTCAATCATTTGTGATTAAGTATGTCCTAAAGTATTAAAATCTGCAAAGTTGATATGTCAGACTTTACTTGCCCTATAACAGCTCTGACACCACACATTTCACTCACTCATAAAACTCAACATACCTCAACATAACTCAACACAACTCAGCTTTAGTCAGCACAACACAACTCGACATCACTCATCATGACTCAACATCTCTCAACATAAACCTTGCATAAGTCCACACTTCAACACAACTCAGCATAACTTCCTTGGTTTAGTTTTGTACAAGTCCCTCAAATATTCCGGGTTAGAATTGGTCTTCAGCAACCCATTCTTGTAGTAAGAGGCGACTATAACGGGATCGGGTGGTCAGGCCCGCTGACTTGGTTGATGCGTATCATCGCATCCCAATTGCATGAGATCAATGCTCATGATGTCAATCACTGGATTGTCAGGTCCATACTCATTTACAGACCGCCGTCATATGGCTGGAATATTGCTGAGAGTGTCGTTAAACAACAAACAAACAAACAAACAGTTATGTACAAGGAGCTATTTTTAATTTAAACAAAGGTGTGGGTTTCACCAGAGTAGTAAACGTCTGAGACCTGCATCACTTCGGGCTTTCCTTCCACATTAAGCTGACACGCCGTGATATAACTGGAATTCTGTTCAAGGCAGCGTTCAACAACACTCACTCCTTGTTCAAACAGTGTAACACCAATATCACCCACAACAAGTACTAGGTACACAAAGTTCACAGTGACGTCACGGAAGGATTACCGCATACGTCGGTAAACCTCACGCTAACACAATACACTACTCAACGTTGATGTCGATTACAAGATCACACCAGTCAGTCTTACGCTTGCATGAGTTCATCTCAAGCCAGCATGTTACAGAAAAATACCGAATACAATGTCATAGCCCTCGATGAGGCGCTACGGAAACTACCGAGCTTGTCTGAATGATAGTTGATTGCGCAAGAGACTGATAAGAACTACGGGCTTTATTTCATCGCTGTGTGTCGGGCGAGGCGTAGTCGTGTGGATACTTCGAAAGTCGATATTTGATGTGTAAATACATTTATCTAGGTACAACGATTGCCGCAAGAAGAAGAGGAGCACGGGTTCCCAGTCCTGTGAGGTATCGTCCACTGACGCAATCCTCGGCCCTCTTTCGCGTCATTTTACCTGTCTCTCCACAATGCTTCCAAACAATCTGCAAGTGCAAGTTCGAATCCCACTCAGTCTCGTAGATTTTGAAAAAGTTATTTTTATTGTCACTTTTCTTATTATGATTGGAAGTTTCAAGGCATTTGTTTTATATACAGAATCTTGAAAATAACAACTTAGCTTAAATATATTTTACTATAAATACAACAATTATTGTTGTTGTTACTACTATAAATATTAGCACATGGTCACACGATTCCTGCAAACTGTATTTAACACACTATATACCCTTTCAATCTCAAACATATATTCCGCATTATTTTATTTACAGGCAACACTGAGTTTTGTATTGAGGTTTTGTCAGAAATTGGAGAAAATGAGTTGGAGAGCCTTGTGAATGAGCTTTATAGCTGCATGAATAGACTTGGTTTGTATCGCCTTCTATTATTTGTAAATGCGTTTGCAAGTCCTTCAAACAGTCAATGACTGCTTTATCATCATCGTCGTCGTCGTCGTCGTCGTCGTCATTCATGTAACGATTATAACAGAACGGAAGCTCCTATTTGCATTGGTGAAAAAAACACAAGTATAGCCTTCCCTCTCAATAATTTCCCAATTTTTCTTAAATACGAATTTGATTTCCTTTTCGAGGACTGAAAGAAATTGGGAACATTTTTCTTAGATGTTGTTGTTTCAATTTTCACTTTGAGCAACGCGTTTGGTTCTGATACCACGATCTGGGACAATTATAAAGTGGCATTTCGGTAAATTTAATGCTGGTTTAATTATGGAAACACGTTAGATGATACATCTGTGGGGAGTTAGTTGCTTTGACATTCCTGGCCTATTTATTTATTTTTTTTGTGTGTGTGTAAATGCGTTTACAGGTCTTTCAAACACGCACACACATGATTGCTTTATCATCATCATATTCGTTGTCGTCGTCATCGTCGTCATTCGTGTAACGATTATAACAGTACGGAAGCTCGTATCTGCTTTGGTTAAAAAAGATATTTATAGCCTTCCCTCTCAAAAATGTCCCAAGTTTTCCTAAATACAAAATTGATTTCTTTTTCGAGGACAAAGCATTTTGGAACATTTTTCTTAGATTTTGTTGTTTTCAATTTTCCGAATGTTTTTCTTCACGAGGTGTTTGCTTAAAGGCAAAGTAAACTCAAAATAGCAACTGTGCAGATTTTAATTCTTTAGGGCAAAATTAATCACAAATGCATGACAAACTTCAGGTTGAACAACGGAAATAGCCTAAAACAAACGATACAAAATGACAAACCAAATCGTCTCGGAAATTGACCAAATGTATCTAGGAAAACTGATATTCGCAACAAAATATCAATCATTTGTTTCAGTTTACTTGCCTTTCAAAACGTAGCCGAATACGGCTACACTTTGTTGATAACAAACATTTCGACATGACATTTTCATCAATATAATGACCGAAGTGCCATAAAATACCACGTTTGCCTTCTTCACCCGACTTCATTCTTCACTTCAGGGACCTGGAGATACTCCTGACCAGATGATTGATATTATGAACAACTTAAAAATTAGATCAACGTTCCATGCCAAAGGGGTACAATGACAACAATTTCAAGTTACCGACCCTGACCCACCGATCCATCAAGCACAGGTTGCTGGGGACCTTTTCTGACCCGGAATCCCCAGTGAAAACATATTCTGCTACAGATACGTAATTTCAGTATGTAACCCTAATTGAGCTGTATCAGTCTGGCGTTCGATCATGCATGTGGCATTGCGCTTTTATTTTCTTGTTATTTTCGGATAATCATATTTATAAGTTACTACTGTACATTTGAGGACAAATAATGTTTTTTGACTTGAGCAGCGCGTTTGGTTCGCGTTTTGTAATACCACGATCTGTAAGAATTATAAAGTCGCTTTTCGGTAAATATCATGCTAGTTTAATAATGGAAACAATTTAGATATGTTGAGAGTCTGGGGAAAAAAAGTTTACTATTAGCAACGTGTTTGCGTTTAACACCTCAATCTAGGACAGTATAAATTGATATTTACGTAGATTTAATGCTATTCGATATATCCAAATTGTTACCATGATACCTCTGTGAGGTTTTAGTTGCTCTACACCGCCCGGGCTAAGTGGTACCGAATACAGACCAAATATTTCTAATATATCTTGAAGAGCTTAGCGCCAAAATGTATATTATTGCATAGATAACGTCTATGCGTCCTTGTCTACCTGTAGAAAACATATTGTATGTTTTCATTGAAAAGTTTTGGGAGATAGAACTACTGAAAATTTTGTAAAAGGGCCCAAGTCAAGTTATAAGTCACTTTGCTTGATTTTGGCCCTTTTAGCTCTCATTTCCATGTGTGGTTGGGACATGTTGTTCCAGAGATTTTGAAAGTTTGGACACATTATTATTATTTTTCAACTATTTCAACAAAGTTGGCATTAGTTAAAATCATTTAAAAGTGCTTCAATAGTATGTGTTTGTACTTTTTTCACTAGTAGTGTACCAATCTCACAGGTTAAGTCCCATGCAACTGTCTGAGGGTA